CAATATTAACTGCTTGTCTTCAAGCACATGGTATGGAGGGCCTGTGCAAACTCCAAGCCCATGAGTCGGCTTTCGTTTAAGGGAGCGTGTAAAGAAGTGGTTAAATACCATATACATGCACGGGTATCTTCCAACAACTCGAATTATTGGGACCGGTTGATTTATGACAGTATGAAACCACACGCACGTAAATGTATTTGTGGGTTTACGAAAGCTCTTACGAATATACCTACATTTGCTGATAAATTAGGTTCGATCAATTGACTTTTAACTCTTAACACATCTTCATTAGGGGCTAGGGTTTTGCAACATTGGACAAAAAGGATAGGGTAGTAAGTGGGTAACTCGCATGCACACAGTTTGATGGATTGGATGGTCTCTCCACCTTTACTTTCTATCCAACTTTTTGCTGGCCCCATGTGTTGCTATGTTGCTGCTTAGAGTAGCTAGAGAGCTCGTGAAGTGGTGTGACAGATAGTAGACAACACATCAAACAACTGTTGTTGGTCGTGAAAATGAAATGAATGAATTTGTTCCATTCGACTACTGCCTCAATTTCATGGGTCCCTTCATCATCCCGCTCCCCTTGACTATTTGGTATCTATAGAGCTCGTAAATATGTCACGTTTTGCCCTAGCTCAACCCCGTCCATCCGTTTATTATCTGCTGGTGGGGATGGATTCTAGAATGTGGGGAATTATAGGATTTTTCTTCTTCTAAAAGTAAGTATTGTTTTGATTCTCTTAATAGCGATATATTACAGTTATTTTTCAATATAGCGATGTATTTCTGAACTTGCGGGAAGGTAAATTTAGTAACTTGGGAAAGCGATAAAAGGGTATGTCGCTTGACAAATTGGCAACATACGAGTATATCGGTTTTTCTACAAAGCGACATTTTGCTTCCTTGGACTTGTGGGAAGGGCTAAGAGCACTTTTCTCCCTTTTGTTTGGTTCAAATCATAGTTTTTACAAGAAAACTTGTGAAGAACATACCCTAAAAAAAATTGCATCTAATTATGTCAATTCATATATTTATTACACATTTTTTAAGGTGTTTATATATGTGGGTTCAAATATTCACACACAATACGTGATATATTTTCACAACACATTTTACGTATTCATACTAATTATTTTGGACCACGGGCGTTGAATCATTTTAACAAGTTTTGTGAATATTGTTAACAGTCGTTCTGTAACATATAGCTTTTTGAAATAACGACACAAGTTGTCGCTTGTTAGGCTGACGACATTCCTCCGCGCCCCCACCGCCAAGTCAGCAAAAACCCAACTACATTGGATTTTTCTTTGTCTGTTAGGTTGAGAATAAATTGCAGGGTATCGTTATGTTGGAATTAAAAAAAAAAACAATTTGGCTTACTCCTGAAAAAAATTCTGAAACTATATCCCCAAAGAAAAACTAGGCCGGTGATTGGTTCCCGATAACATTTTGCCCAAAGTGAACATATACGACTTCATTTCAGGGCTTTCGAAGGGTTCCTTTCTGTCGTTTAATTTAAACTTTAAAGCCTCACTCCTTTCATTTAAGTCATCCGGATTTATGCTTCAGATACAGATGATCCCCAACCCAAAGCCAAAGTGGTCTTTCTTTCTCTCTTTTCTTCCTTTTCTGTTACTTTGTTTTTATTCTTCTCAACAATATTTGTTTGTTTGAAATCTCAGAGTTTGGCCAAGTGAATGCCACGTACTTGCTTACTACTTCGACGACTCCACTCCATCGCCTCACTCACAAGCTCTGTTTTTTTATGACTTTTAGTTCCTCCTTTTATGATGGGACTTGAACACTTATGTTTTTATAGATTATTTTGGTCACATGAATAAAGATCCGCAAATTTATATAAATAGATTTTTCTTCTTAAATTAATGGAGTACAAAATTTAAACCTGCAAGCATATACCATAATCGTATCAATTTTATGTCTAACAACTGTACAATGGTTGATTTCTCCTATTATTAAACTTATGCATATTGTGATCAATACATGTATTACACTAGACATGTATTTTATGCATTTGGTGTATCATAGATTACTGTGTTTGGTATATGCGATTATAATTTTTTATAATTAAAAAAAGAATTTTTTTAACGAAAATGTCATTTAAAAACAACTTTTTAATATATAAAGACAGAACCAAGAAAAATAAAATCAATCTCAACTGAAAATCCTAACGGCCTCAACTAAAAGTTGAGATTGTACAATCATTCATTTTTCGTTGATTATTTCTATCGTATCAACCAAACAATGCATCTATTATGTCTGCGTAAAAATTAAAAAGATATATATTCAAAAGAATGCAAACATTGTACAATCCTAGAATTAAAACAACACTTAGGACTCATTTGGATGTTGTATTTCTGAAATGAAATAACTTGACCAAATTCTCTCACAATTTTTTCTCACAAAAAAAAACATAATTTCAAATTGCATCAACTCAATTTTGTGCTGCCAAACGAGACTATTCAACCTAATCCTTTCATTTCGAAAGGATTGTACCAAATTGTCTTATCCAAACGATATCCATTAGTCGCTTATTGTGTTTCATGTTTTGTTTTAATTATGAAGCTCTACGAGATGGAAAAGAAAATAAAGAATCAAGGAGAGAGTGCAAGTAAGAATGTGAAAGCAACTTCGTGAGTTGTTTGTTTGGATTGGACTCTTATGATCAAATGTCTGAAATCAAGGGAAATTTTGTTGTTTTCTACTCTCTGTCTAGATATCCATTTGATATGTCTTTTTCAATACTTTCTCCTCTCTTTTTATCCTACGTACCTACCCCTGGGATCAATTATCTAAACATAATTACTGATTGTTAATTACACGTAATTTCTAATTATAATGACCATCGCCATGCAAATTTCTCTGGGTACGTCTAGGTATAATTAAGCTAAGTGGTCATTATCTAAAAAAAAAGACGGCACTAAGTTAATTACTAAGCTAATGATAGAATTTGAGAAGATGGAATGACTACAGTCCAGTGAGGTGGGGGAAGTTAAAAGTGAAGGAAGTAAATGGCGGATCGTGACCAAAGAAAGAAAAATCTGATCTACAACAACCCAATCCACTTAATCCAAAGTATTAATAGCAATTAAGCCAAATTGGATAGGCCTGCAACTAATTACCCTCAAATCATAGTTGCTAATCCACTATTTCTTTTATAATGGGCTTGCCTTAATTACCAGACGTCAACAATGACGGCAACTTACTACCCCCCAAATTACCTTACTTATTTATAGTTATTTTTAATTGCCGTAAACTTATAAGAAGAAAAAAAAACCTCCTAATTACTTAGGGTCGGGTGTCCTTCCTCGCAGTTGCTAGCTAAATAATAAAGTGGGTAGTTAATCTTTTACAATGTAAACCCATCTCGAGCCACGCATAAAATAAAGGAAGTCTCAATTAATTGTACTTAGTAATTAAATTGTGGGAAAGAAGGTGATGAGTTGGCGGCCTATGGTGGGCTTCCGCTTGCTTTGCCTCGTGGGTCATTCTTAATTTAATAAACTGACGTACGGGGTTAATTGTGATTAAATAATGTTAATTAATAATTTACAACATACCCTCTACTTTAGAGGGCGATTTTTGCAAAAGAAAGAGGTGCGTGTCCAAATCTAGAGGCAACCATTGAGATTATATGCCCTTTAATTTGTTTACATACATCAACGCGACGTGGGATCCCCCAATCCTATAGCTACTTGGAAATTAATTACAACACTAATCTGCAGTGTAGTAATTAGGGGATAGGATTAGTGGTGTGATGTGTTCTCTTTTGAACCACTCATCTCTCGTCTTATTAATTGGGATTAATAACTAATTAACTAGCTACTGACGTTGCTTTCATTGATCACTAGCTAACTAATTACTTGAAAAAGAAACCCTACAATCCACTACCCATTTTCGTCCCCCTATATGCCTACACCAATATACTTTAATTAATCTATCAATTAGCCTCACTTTTTATTATATTAATTAATTTTGGTTTTATCCGATAGCTTGATATAAACGGTACCCCTCTCCCCCCGTCTTGCAATATAATGTTTGAATTTATTCATACGGTTCACAATTTTGATGTCACATTAACACAAAAGCCATTAAGAAATGTCATCTCGTCATGAAAAAAGAATACGAACAATATTTATAACCATCTTCGATACAGTTCACTCTTAGGTTTCCAAGGTAGTCATCTCCTAAATATCTCTGCCAAATCAATAATAATATTTCATCGTTATAAAAAAAAGCTATGATTTTGCTTATTTCTTATTCGTTGTAGTACTTGCGAGCCTTAGATTTAGGCAAAAACGCTCATGTTGATCTCTAGTGACCAATTGTACGTGTTGCTTTCGTTCAGAATTTGTTCATTGTTGTTTTGCTATAGTCATGGATTGATATAAGCACCTATTTTAAGGAGAAAAAACGTTTGTAATAACCTTGCCATTTTAATTTGTCATAAATTTCGAAATCCTAAATGTAATGTTAGCCAAAGTGCAATATAGAGTCATATATAATAAGGCTTATTTTAATGGGTACATATTGATATTGGCCATTGTAGAATAGGTTTTTAGACTATGAGTAGAGTAGTGTATAAAATAAATATACATTCATCCAATCCAACCCAATTTGAGTAAATGGATGGATCGGATGAGAGTGTAAACAGTAATCCCGATGAGTTCCCTAGTTAAAAATATACATATATTTGTTTTGTGGTTAGTTATCATGAGTTAGAAAAACACAGTAAAATCTTGTGTAATCAATCGTCCATTAAGAAAAACAAAACAAAGACCTCACTTTATGCCTCCTATATATAATTAGTTAATTAATCTGTCAATCTATATATGTTTTCCTTCCTGACCTCAAAAGAGGTAGAAAAAAAGGAATAACAACTCAGCAAGCAACCTGTTTCATTCATCATCATCAAAGCAGTTAGTCTCCTTCAAAGTCTTCGCTCTCACTATATAAATAAACCCCAGCCCTCCATCTCCCTCATGTTTCCTTCCACAAATCAGTTTCCCAGAAACCAAACACTCTCTCTCTTAACTCCTTAATTATCGGATTTCAACCAACAACTACACTATCATCAGATCAGATGTCTCTCATCTCACAACTCTACCCCACCACCACCGCCGACTCGGCCGCCGCCGTCTACTCACAACTCGTCCCCCAACCAGGTTCCTCACTCGTTCCCCCCAAAACTCGGCAGTACCACTTAGTATGGTTTACGATGAAGAAAGTATTTATACTTTTTTTTTTAATTTCTAATGATTGGAGTTGGATGTCCAGGTGATGATCAACAGCAGGAGAAAGTGAAACCTGCAGCGCGGCGAAGGAGAAAGAAGAACAAAGACGGGTCGTCGGGTTCGTCGTCCAGCGGGTGGCCGAAGAAGAGGAAGCTGAGTGACGAGCAGGTGACGATGCTGGAGCTGAGCTTCGGCAACGAGCACAAGCTGGAGTCGGACCGCAAGGACAGGCTGGCGGCGGAGCTGGGGCTGGACCCGCGCCAGGTGGCGGTCTGGTTCCAGAACCGGCGGGCCCGATGGAAGAACAAGAAGCTGGAGGAGGAATACTCCAAGCTCAAAGCCGCTCACGACCGTAACGTTCTTGATAAATGCCGCCTTGAGTCCGAGGTAACAATTCTGTCTTCCATTTTCCTTTCTTTCGTTTGTTTTTTCGGTTTGATCTTATCCAGTTGAATGAAGTTAATGTTATTAGGTGAGTAGAAAAAGGATAAATTTTTAATAAGAGAAAACAAAGACTAGCTAGCTAGGCACTCTTCTTCTTCTGCCCACTTCCTTATATTTTTAAAAATTACCCAAACCGTCTCTATAACGATGATAATAATAATAAAACCGATATTTTGTGGTGATTTTGTTACGGTCCATCATTCTCGAGCGTGCATGAGCAATAGGCTCGAAATGTGAAAACAAAACACGTCAAAATGGTGCTAGCTACTATCTTTATTCTCTCAATCATATTGAGGTTTTAGTTCTAATTTAATCAAAAATATATTCAATATTCCGAAGAATTATAAAGTGAGTGAAAACTATACTGATTATCCCAACAATATGGGAACAAAATAAAATTATCGACCTTGGCATCTAAAAAGAAAAGAGTAGTTCAACTCAAACCCTTTTCCCTTTCTTTCCTTTTCGGAAAATTGTGGGCTTTTTTCTAATTTTTGAAAATCTCTTACACACAAACGAGTAGCACTCAGAAGCAGTGGAGTCAGAAAGACAAAAATATCAAGGAGGACATGTGGTTCAGATTAACAAACCTTTTCTGCCATCTGGGTACAGAACATGGAGTTATGTCACGTCCGTACAATTCATGTCTGTGGCCTAGCTAGCTGAGTCTCTTCCATTTTTCTTTTTCTATATTTTGTTTTCAAGGTTACAGCCATATGCTACAGTACACGACCTCGTCAGATTTTTACTGTGCCCTTTTCACAGTCACGTGTGTTTAGTTAGTTTGTTTGTTACAGTTTTACCAACCAAAATGGACGGTTCATCTAAAGCTGTGTTTATCTTCATCGTAATTAACTTCTCAGGTTTTGAAGCTGAAAGAGCAACTATCGGAGGCCGAGAAGGAGATTCAGCAGCTGTCGTCGTCAACTGACGTGGCGGCCGGCAGCAACAGCCCGAGCTCGTCGATGACGATGGAAGCCATGGAATATCCGCCACCGGCGCCGGCGTTTCTCGGAGGAGGAGGAGGAGGAGGAGGGGGAGCAATGTTTGGAGTCGTTGAAAGCTATGAAGATGTGTTCTACGACTTGGCGCCGGAGGCGACTTACGTTGTCAACGGGATGGAATGGATGTACATGTGAATTAGCAAATACTACTGCTTGTGATCTCAAAAAATATTAACGAGATTCATTATTAACGTACGTAATTAACTATCATTAGTGAGTAATTAGTTTTAATTAAATGTTTCTAGGATCTATATGTATCATTGTAGATATAGCTAAGCTAGCTACCAACCAAGTACTGATCATGATGTTGATGATCTCTCCCTCTCTCTCTCTCTCTCTCTCTCTCTCTCATGTAAATATTCTTTCTCTCTCTCTCTCTCTCTCTCATGTAAATATTCTTTCTCTCTCTCTCTCTCTTCGATCGTACTCTTGTAGTAATTAACGAAAGTAATTAGTTTCCTCTCATCTTAGTTGTCCTTTTCCTCCTTTTGATCGGGTTTCGTGCATGTGATTGTGTGGGGAGGGGGAACTAATAACTAATTGTTAATTAGTTTATATGTTAAGGACTAATTAAATGTTAATAATGTAAGTAGCCAATCAATCAGATGACTTTGGCCTGCTTCTGTGTCTAGATGAGGTAGGAAGCTTGTGGACGTCTTTTCCTTCTATTCATCAATATCTTGCCTAGCTACTTAACCCTACCTTTTTCTCTAGTAAGCGAATATACAAATTGATATGTCACATGCATTTTGTGCCTACCAATATGCTATACATATGTCATATTGACACAAGTGAACACATAAATTATTCAGATGTAATATATTGAAAAGTCAGAGATAAGAGGTGAGTTGGTAAGCACATGTTTGGTTTTGTGATTACTAGATTACATGAAAAATATTATGATACATGTCACATCAGTACTTAGTAGTGAATAATGTTTTGAACTTATTGTAAACCGAAAAGATTCAACCATTCGTTTGAGTATATGTGAACCGAAAATATTACAATACATGTTGGTATATATTGTTGTATATGAAGATGAATGTGTTTTTAACTTTTTAAAACAAAATTGTTGACCTCAATTAATGACAGGTCTGATGAATAGTAATATATTAGTGCATACACATTATATATGGGAGGATCGAAAGAAGTGCTGAAGAGCAAAGAATAGGGTGGCACCTATATTGGGAACGGCATAAAGATTGGACTTATCCTCAAGATCACTTAAAACTTAAAAAGCATATAAGGATTATGGATGGTGGAGGGAGGGTTTTCTAAGGAGCAACAACCACCGAAAATGGAAGAGTTTGCTGGATTAATAGAGAGAGAAGGGAGCCTACATGTTAACATGAAACAAGAGAGAGAGAGAGGTAAGTATGGTGAGGTGTCATTAACTTGTACTAGCTAGAAGTAAGAGTAAGGAAGCGATAGAGTATTTTGTACTCAAATTATGGTTCAACAGTTTCATACAATTAAAAATTGCCTAGCGCGGCAAAGTATTTTTACGGTTAAATAGCCAATACGGTATATGGTTTCACAAACACGCATCGACAAGGAGTATCCTTTAATTTCGGGTTTCACCTAATTAAACCTAACCCGAAATCGAATTTCTCCTATTATTACGAACCGGACACTTAAATCCGCGATTTAAGTCTCGGGTTAACTCGATTCGTGTCGATCTGAGTTGGCTGTATGGGTTGCTATACCTTGATTCAACCATCGGGTCAATATACGACAGCATGAGATTGAGAGATGCGGATATGCGTGTGCCAAACTTCCAATGACCACTGACCAGATCCGTCTGATGACATAAAGGAAATTTACCCTTTTTTTGGTGTGATGAGTTGTGTTGGATTTATTGGACAAATCCGCTTAATGTCTACCGAACCAAGCAAGGATCCGAAGTTGGAGCCCCAACAAATGACCAAAACACGGTTCAATGTTCGGTGTCACGAAAATGGAAACAAATGAAAGGCAGATATATGATCCCCCTACATAGATGTCGTCTTTCTCGTCCCATGGAATTGGAGAGGGAAAGTAGTTGTGTCGAAAGCAGAAATAGAAATGGATAGGGTAAGATAGTGAAAGTGATTGGTCGTTGGTGCCGGGGGAAAAAAAAAGATAAGGAAGGAGACAGAAGATGGAATCTTCTGGGAAAATGATCCTTTGCAAGTTTCACCCCGATGTGTGTGGCATATGGTAGGCAATCTAGATAATGTATATGCCTTTTGGTTGAGGGACATAGAATGCGCACTATGAGCTAGATAATCTGCAAGAGAAATTAACCTTCCTGGAGATATGGGAAAGAGTAATATCCAAATCTATTGACAGAAGCAAATAGTGAAGTAAAATCGGTTACACTTATATGTATAGGAGTGGTAATCGGATGAGATAGTTCGGGTATCTCGATATCTCGACTCATTTCGTGATAAGTGCAGCGGCGGATCCAGAACACAGAAGTGCACTGGGCCGCATTTTATTAAAAAATTAGAATAGTAAAAAAATATAATGATTATAATTTTTTTACAATGTAAATTGTACACGACGGTATTTTAATTTAGCGAATACATTATAATGGAGTCCACATCCATACCAATAGTATTCACTGTTTCAAATAAAATACTTGAGCAATCGACTAGAAATCCATCGCTCATTTTGTTGCGCAAATCAATTTTCACATGTTTCGTTGTTGAAAAGGTTCTATTCGTATTAGCTGTTGAAACGAGCAGCATCAACACTAGACAAATCAATCTACTAATCAATTTGCATTGTGTTTCCATCCCTATATCCACCAGCTGCTCTAGTAACTTTTCCAAGGTAACAAACCTCATATATGGTTTAGTCTTTTACGTTTTAAACTTTTTGAATTTTTAGGTTTCATTGTTTTTTTAGACGAATAACCTTTGGGGTTAGAATTTATAAGCTAAATTTAGAGTAGTGATTTTGAATATGTTCATCTGAATTATTTTTCTAATTATACCCAATGTTATTTTAAAATAACAACGACCCGAATATCTAAAATCGAAAAATTCATAAGGCATATACTAACTATGGATCCAGAGGAGGGCTAGGCCGGGGCCCGGGGTGGCCACCCCCTGGATCCTCCACTGGATAAGTGCAAATCATGTTAGATAAGGATGAGAATGATGTAACTCGGTCTGATCAAATGGGTTTCGAAAAGGGTGATAGTTGTCCCACGACGGTTTTCTTAATTACTAGGGTACGCATTAAGAATATTGGAGCCTCGTGTATTTCCTAACGCCAAGGAGAAGTAAATTGTAATCGGATTGCGCTCTTGGTTTCGGGCCGATTTCTCCCTGCTTGAACGGCCGTCTGTGAGATTGCATTTTCCTTGGGCCGACAGGCTAAGTTTCACCCTCTCTGTAGCTCTTCAGCCCATCTGTTTGCTTAACGACCTCTGCGCACCAGGCCCACCTTCGGATTAATAGTTCCGGCCTTGGGCTGAAAATATAGCAGCCTTAATGGCCGATTTGGGTGGTAGTGGGCCAGTGTGGACAAAAACAAATAATAAAATATTTAATAGATGGTTCATGGTTTTTAAGTTGGATTCGACTCCCTAGACTGATGAGTAAGCATTTGACATTAATTAATTAAGTGATCTCCAGAATTCAACCGATGAGGTTAACAATAATTGTTTATTCATTCCAAAAAAAAAAAAAAACGGTGAAAGAATAGATTTATATGAAGGAAAACTTTCCTTGGCACGTTAGGTGTGAGGGACACCTAATGAAAAATGTATTAAATAATTGTATGAGAGATATGCGTTGGTGAGAAGAGAAATTGAATGTTGGTGAGAAGAGAAATTGAAAATAAAAGATATATTGAATTAAAAAATGCACTTTCTCTTTACCCCAACCACCTCTTCGTATCCTCCATCCACAAAAGCCATCTTTTGAGTGCAGAGAGAGAAGGGAAAGTAAGAGAGAGATTTGCTCTGACCTCTCTCTTCCACTTTTCTCGCTAGTTTCCGTTTTTCTTCCCGTTACCACCATGGAGCCTCCATCAGAGGCACCGCTGCCGGACCCAAAGCCACCGGATGCATCTCCGGAGACGACGCCTACGCAGCCAAGTAAGAAGGCGAAGGCAACCTCAATCAGCAATTTCCCAGGACAGGCTGACATGGAGGTCGCGATGATTACAGCGAGAAGGGAAGATACTGATACAGAAATGGAAACGCCGGAGAAAAATCAAAAGCTCAGGGAATCCTCCAACGAGGGAACCGAAGGAAATCAACCAGGAAGGGCATCCTATAAAGACTCTGTCCTCGGAAATGAGCCGATGTCGATTATCCCAGATGGGGACGACCTCATGTCGGACGAATCCGATTGCGAGGAAGCAGAAGATGATCCGCTATGCCCAACCATCCGCATTAAAAAGAGTACAGATGCTAGGGTGCGACACCGTTGGAGCAAAGCCATTACCTTCAGAATACTTGGTAAGAGCCTCCCATTTGCTTTCATTCACAGGAGGGTCCATTCGATGTGGGCAAAAACTGGAACTGTGAAGATTGGAGACATTGGTAATGGCTATTATCAGGCCATCTTTAGATCGCAGCTGGACTACGACCGTGCCCTGTATGGAGGTCCATGGACGGTTGACGATCAGTATATTGCCTCTGAGCCGTGGAGACTGGATTTCGATCCAGACTATGTTGTGATCAACAAAACCATGGTGTGGGTTCGCCTCCCACGCCTCCCAATGGCGTATTTCGATGAAGAGATCCTGGAGAGCATTGGAGACCAGAACACGAGATTCTTCCACAACTCCACAATGAGCAGGAGAAGAAGGAATAAAATATTGGGACTCCAAGATGGGGAGGGAAACTTGGTTACTGATCCCAACATCCTGCAACAAATGGCTAGAGACTTCTTTGTGGCTCTCTATACCAAGGATGGACAAACAGACCCCTCTCTGGTTCCTGCTGCCTTTCCTAGCATTGGAGAAAGAGAAAGAGCTAGGCTGAGCAGTCCTCCCAGTGCAGATGAAATCAGAGCTACTGTCATGGAGATGAATGGGTTGAAGGCACCAGGAAAAGATGGCTACCAGGCTATCTTCTTCCAAAAATGCTGGAAGCAAATAGGGAGTGATTTTACATCTTTCATTCTGTCTTGCTTCTCTGCCCCTTCTAATATTAAACTTTTGAATCAAACCCTCCTGGCTTTGATTCCTAAAACTGACTCCCCTGATTCTATGAACCAGTTTCGACCAATTAGCCTCTGTAACGTAGGTTACAAAGTTGTGGCTAAGTGCTTAGCCAACAAACTCAAGGCTCTGATGCCAGTCCTTGTGCATCAAAACCAAACGAGTTTTGTCCCTGCTAGACACATTACTGACAACATCCTCATTTTGCAGGAGACTGTGCATTCGATGGCAAGGAAAACGGGAAAGAAAGGGAGCATGTTGTTGAAGGTGGACCTGGCTAAGGCGTATGACAGAATCGACTGGCAATTCTTGGAGCAGACCCTGAGATGTGCTAGTCTACCAGAGAACTTCATTAGGATGATCATGGAGTGTGTCTCAACCTCAGAAATGCAAGTGTTGTGGAATGGGGGGGAGTCAGAGAGTTTCAAACCAAGCAGAGGCCTACGTCAGGGATGTCCTCTATCCCCTTATCTTTTCACTCTTTGCGTAGAAAGGCTTAGTCATAGCATTCTTCAGGAAGTTAGTAACAAGAACTGGAAACCTGTTAAATTATCTGCTAGTGGTCCTGCCCTCTCCCACTTATTTTTTGCAGACGATCTAGTCATTTTTGCTGAGGCAAACTGTAGGCAGGCTGAGATTATCATGGAGTGTGTTGACTCTTTTTGCCGGGCTTCAGGAGAACTTATTAGTAAAGAGAAATCCAGGGTTTACTTCTCTAAGAACATTAGAGGTAGTACTAGACAAAGTATTTGTGCTAAGTTGGGTATTCAATCTACTATGGACCTGGGTAGGTATCTGGGGGTGCTTGTGCTCCATGGTAGAATGTCTAAATCAACTTACAAGTACATACTTGAAAAAATGGATAGCAAGCTCTCAACATGGAAAGCAAAAACCCTCTCCCTGGCTGGAAGGGTCACCCTTGCTACTACTGTCTTGAATGCAATACCATCTTATGCTATGCAAACCTCTCTTATTCCCTGCTCAGTTTGTGATGCAATTGACCAAAAAATTAGAGCTTTTGTCTGGGGGTCTTGTGAGGGGAAGAGAAAAGTGCACTTGATTGCCTGGGACACTGTTTGTAAACCTAAGGATCAGGGTGGACTAGGTCTTAGGTCTGCTAGAAGCCTCAATATGGTGTATATGGTTAAACTGGCATGGCAAATTCTCAACAATGATTCTGAGTTGTGGGTTAAAGTTTTGCAGGGTAAGTACTTTCACCACAAGGAGGGAAGGATCTGCTCTATGAAAAAAAGCAATCACTCAAGCTTGTGGAAGGGAATAGTGAGAGCTATGCCCTTTATGAAGAAGGCTACCTTGTGGAGTTTAAGAGATGGGGAAACAACAGGGTTCTGGACTCACCCTTGGATCTCCTGTGAACTGATTCTGAAAGAGCATGCACTAAGAGCACTGACAGAGGAAGAGCTGGCAGCATCAGTGGCTAGCTGGGTGGATGGCTCAGGTGAGTGGGACTGGACCAGGATGAGATCTTACCTCCCTAATGATGTCATTGATCTTATTGCAGGCACTGAAGCTCCAAAATCAGGGCTAGGAGAGGACAAGACAATCTGGGGAATTGAGAGGGACGGAAGGTTCAGACTCAAGTCTGCCTACCTTCTTGTGACTGGGGAAAACGAGGATCCACCACTGCAGACTTGGAAGGATCTCTGGAAATGGAGAGGCCCTAGTCGGATCAAGTATTTCTTATGGCTAGCAAGCCACAATAGACTGCTTACCAACAAGGAGAGGGAGAAGAGGAAGCTGACTGTGGATGGCTGCTGCAACTTCTGTAGAATAGCTGATGAAACCACAGAGCACATCCTTAGATCCTGTAACAAGACAGCTGGGGTTTGGAAATTCTTTGGTAACAAGCTTACGGTTGAAGACAAGAACCTGAACTTCCAGGAATGGCTGCATAGGAATATGATGGACCCTGAGAAAGGTGTGGACTTCGGCATCATCTGTTGGAGTCTATGGAAGCAAAGGAACGAGGAAGTGTTGGATGGGAAGAGGTTCTGTGAAGAAGGACTTATTCATAGAATCACGGCATGGCTCAATATTTATTGTCGGGCCACTTTGAATGCCCAGAAGAGCTTAATGTCACCGAAAGCCACCAAGACAAGTCATGAGATTGCTTGGAAACCTCCTAGAGAGGGATGGATTCAGGTCCAATCAGATGGATCTGTCCTTCAACCTTCTGGAAGTGCTGCTGCAGGTGGGCTGCTGAGAGATCACCTTGGAAGATGTATGGGGGCGTTTACTTGCAATCTCGGGAAGTGTTCTATCACCAGGGCGGAGCTGAAGGGTGCAGTAGAGGGTCTGGAACTTGCTTGGAAGCTTGGCTACAGAAATGTGGAGCTGAATGTGGACTCTAGAACAGCGTTGGATATCATCAAAAACAGAGATCGTACTGATCACTGTCACGGGCTGCTTGCGAAGCAGTTTAGTAGCTTACTTTTGAGGGAGTGGACTGTTGAATTCAATCATGTTTATCGTGAGTGTAATTTTGCAGCGGACTTCTTAGCTACTAAGGGTCATTGTTCTCCTTTTGGCACACATCTATTCGATGTGAGCGACCCGAACTTCTGTTATTGGTTGTACCACGATTCTATGGGAATTTCCAGGAATCGTTTGATTAATGATATGATATAGGACGCAGTTGCGTCTATTTTCTACCAAAAAAAAAGCCATCTTTTGAAATCTCATTCTGCTCTTCTTCCACTACCCTTTCCAATGCTTTTCTTCCTCACCAAATAGTCACTGGAGACGACAATAGAGAGCGAGGGCAAGCAAACGAAGATCAGGGAGAGGCAAGCTTTCCTTTCGTTTGATTCAGAGGTGAAGGCGCCGGAGATCGGAGGCGAAGGTGGAGGCGTCGGATTCAGAGGCGAAGGCGCCGGAGTCGGAGGCGTCGGATTCGGAGGCGAAGGCGCCGGAGTCGGAGGCGTCGGGTTCGGAGGCGAAGGCGCCAGAGATCGGGGTGAAAAGGGACAAACAATGTAGGGAGAACCCGTCCGCAAGTTTGGTCCGGCAAATCAGAGCCAACATCTTCAGCCCCAATCGCAGCAAACGTTCAACCCCAATCGCGGTAAACGGAAACCCCTGGTATTGCATGTTCCACCCAGCCCTGCTCGTGGGTAAGTTTTGCGAAACATTATGGATTTGTTTTGAAATTGTTTTAGGGTAAGATTTTAAATTATTGGTTTAGGGATTTTGTAGTCATGGGGGAGATTAGTTAATCAATTAGAAGCAAGCAATAATTGAAGAGTAGGGGAAAGATTAATTACTCAATTATATATAACAATGAAGTACACGTGACATGAGCCACAACATACTGGATTTTGTTTATTTATTTATAATGCAATAAAATTTGGTCTCTTGGCAGAATAAGGTGTTTAACAAGACAATAACACATATTTGTTGTAGGTGGGGTTTTCGGCTAGGAAGTGGAAATGTAATTTTGGGTGGGTTGGGAATGAGCCATAGTAGCTTGTGAAGCATTTTGATGTTTTATGTACTGAAATTGTATGTCTTCTCCAACTACATTGATTGGCTGTCTTTTTTCTTCCAAAGGTTATAATAGTGCCAATATGGATAGTGCTGAACCTCGTAAAAAAAGGCAAAGAAAGGTAATTAACAAAATGATTTCCTTGCATGTCTTAGTGAAAGTAATTTGTCTTGTGCATTATTGTTTCTAATCTATATGTAGGGAGGAGGAAATGTGAGGTGCAGTTCAATGAAAGTGATTGAAATTATAAGTTGTTTATCTGAGGAAAAGAGAGGATGGGTTGGAGAAATGGGCTTCGGCGAGTTGCTATACATGAAGAAATTTAGGCATGATCAAACATTATGTGAATGGTTGATGAGGAAACATTATGTGAATGGTTGATGAAAAAATTTATCTGATGCCGTGAATGAGGTATGATTTGACAAAAACTTGTATATCAATGTACTTTTATGGTTGTGTTGATCTTTACTTATGTTATCTTTCTTCTTTTTTCAGAAATCTTCTTTGAGACTGCGAGAGAACTTATTCCTTGAGTGGATACAACACAAGGAAAACAGCTGTTGGGAATCAATGAAGGAAAGCATATTTTGAGTAATAGAGAGATTATGTGCAAGTGGGAGATGGTTTGCCAGACAAGAGAGACACGAGATAACTTTTTGGTGATTGGATGTAAATGTTTGTTGACAGACATGGTAACTACTTTGTTGAAATGGTACATTTTGGTGGGGGTATGGTTCTGCGTGAATCAGATGGATATTGTCCTGTATGGTGATCAATTTATGTGAATCATATATATTTGGCGTGAATCAGATGGTGTTGACGTGAATGAGAACGTGTTTGTGTGAATTAGATATTGTTGGCGTGAATGGTGATCCATTTGCGTGAACCATATAGTTTTGGCATGAATCACATAGTGTTGACGTGAATGAGAATGTGTTTGCGTGAATCACATAATGTTGGCGTGAATCAAATGGATATTGGAGTGAATCATATGGTTTTGGCGTTTTCAGAGATGAATGTGCGTGAATTAGATGTGGATTGGCGTGACTTATAGTTTTGGCATGTCCCTAAATGAATATGCGTGAATCAGATAAATATTGGCATGAATGGTGATCCATTTGCGTGAACCATATAGTTTTGGCGTGAATCACATAGTGTTGACGTGAATGAGAATGTGTTTGCGTGAATCACATAATGTTGGCGTGAATCAGATGGGTATTGGCGTGAATCATATGGTTTTGGCGTTTTCAGAGATGAATGTGCTTGAATTAGATGTGTATTGGCGTGACTCTTATAGTTTTGGCATGTCCCTAAATGAATATGCGTGAATCAGATTAATATTGGCGTGAATGGTAATCCATTTGCGTAAACCATATAGTTTTGGCGTGAATCACATAGTGTTGACGTGAATGAGAATGTGTTTGCGTGAATCACATAATGTTGGCGTGAATCAGATGGGTATTGGCGTGAATCATATGGTTTTGGCGTTTTCAGAGATGAATGAGCGTGAATTAGATGTGTATTGGCGTGACTCTTATAGTTTTGGCATGTCCCTAAATGAATATGCGCGAATCAGATTAATATTGGCGTGAATGGTGATCCATTTGCGTGAACCATATAGTTTTGGCGTGAATCACATAGTGTTGATGTGAATGAGAATGTGATTGCGTGAATCACATAATGTTGGCGAAATCATATGGTTTTGGCGTTTTCAGAGATGAATGTGCGTGAATTAGATGTGTATTGACGTGACTTTACAGTTTTGGCATGTCCCTACATGAATATGCGTGAAATCAGATTAATATTGGCATGAATGGCGATCCATTTGCGTGAGTCAGATTGTTTTGGCGTGAATCACATAGTGTTGACGTGAATGAGAATGTGTTTGCGTGAATCACATAATGTTGGCGTGAATAAGATGGGTATTGGCGTGAATCATATGGTTTTGGCGTTTTCAGAGATGAATGTGCGTGAATCATATAATGTTGGCGTGAAATAGATAGTGTTGACGTGACTGTGTAATTTTTTGAAATGTATATACTAATATTTAAAAGTTATTACACTATTGAATTGATATAAAACTATAGAGTAACTCATATTCGACGATGTGACTTGAGTATTGCACTTAAACTTGTGAATGCGTTGTTGAGCATGTTATCTAACATACTAGACTATTAGTTTGGTATGTTATGAGTTCTTATAACATGTTGTTGAATAGTTATACCTTATTGATCTTCGAGTCTGGTCTCTTGGCACATCTAGAGACAAGAACTTTTCCTTGATCTTATTTGAATATAGTGGAGGAGATTGAATATGCGTAAATAGTTACAAGACTAACGTGAATAAATGTCTGTTTATGCGTGAGTAGGGTATGCTTATGTGTGAATAGTGTTATATTGGCGTGACAGTGTCTGTTTATGCGTGAGTTTTAATGTTTTAGCGTGACATGGCGTGCATTTGTGTTAATCACATGAAAATACGGCCTTTTAGGAAGAGAGACCGGGTTTTTGGGAAGAAGCCGGGTTTTGTTAAGGAGAGGGTGTTTTTTTAAGTGTGCCCCCTGCTTGTTTGATAAGAACACGACCGACTTTGTTTTTATACTGGGTTGATTGTTTTGGCGTGACTGAGATCAAATATGCGTAAATAGTTGAAGACTTACGTGAATAAATTTGATTTTACGTGACACCTGAAAGGTTTACGTGAATAAGAAATTGTCATAAATTAACAGTGAACTAATTGCACTCATAACATCCAGGGGTTACAATGAAAATATATCTCATCCATGAGATTTACACAATGGATAAGTTTGGTATGGTCCACAAAATAACCAAAGACCATCCGTATACAATAAACTCATTATATACCCATCCACTGTTGTCAAAATATGTGCATCCTCCTGTATTGTTTAGTAGCTAATATGTGAATATATACTTCATCTAGAATCACTTATGTAGTCAATATGCATTCTGCAATATCAAAACAACGAGTTAAAACTAATTGGCTTCAACATATAAGATTTTCAAACAACAAATGTACACTTTTTTATTTACGAAATTATGACCCAAATGCATGCTTGTCAAAAGTTCAGTGTGTGAACCTCCGCCACCTAGGAAAACTTGTTGATCACAAACCTGTTCATTTCTAGCAAAGCAAGGGTAATTTGGAATACCAAATACCGATCTAACCTGAAAAAATGTAACTTTCAAACTTTACTTATGTTGATACTAACAAATCAGCAATGGCAAAACCAATCAAAGCAAGGGAAATTCAAGTCAAAGTACCTGCATCCCAAAAGTTGGACTAGATACTTGCAACCCATTTGAACTAAGATTCAATCGAGCTCCCCATTCAATTCGATGGCTGGGTTTTGGTTTGACAGGATTCTTTGACTTGTTAGATGGTTTCCTAGCCCTATGACAACAAAATCTACAATTTGCAGTCTCTCCCTTCTTATTTTTTTGGGTTGTTGCCTATGTTGCTGCAAATCCTTTTGCTTCAGCATAATCTTGATATAACTCAAAGATTTCATCAGCTGAAGAATAGGACACACCCACCACTGGTACCCACTTCCATTCACTTCTATTATAACCATTTTGCTCGGGTGATTGAATAGTATTACCTCGATCATTGATTTCATCATCTTCAACCATGATAGTGTCTTGTTCCATACTTCCAGCTTCTTTCGCTTCAGTTGACTCTTTAACCAATTGGACTGCAAAAAAAGCTACTGGTTAGATTTTAGGGTTCCTTCAATAGTGGAAAAAATACAACAACAACAAGAAGAAACAAACTTACAGATTAGAGAGGTAGTGTGAATGAAGATATTTCTTCACCGTCAATGGCGAAATCCGGCAGCCGCCAATGGAGCCCGACCCTTTTCGTGAAGGGGCTACTTGCTCCTCTCAAGGAAAAAAAGGGATGAAAAAGATTACATGAACAAGGGGCTGGAATTAAGGCTTACCGGAATATGTTTGGGTGGAGAATCACAGGATTATGATGAGAAGGCAATGTTCTGTGAAAAAAAAAAGGCAACAATGGTGGGTATCTTCGTGGGGAAGAAGGGGAAAGGAAGCGTGAAGAGTCAGGAGAAGGCTTTTATCTTCTCCTTTCCTTTATCTGATAAAACAAAATTGCTTTTATTTCTCCTTTCTTTCAAACTTCTCGTATCTCTTTATCTCCCATGAGATATTGGATTTCACAAATGAGTTTTTGAATTTTATATTATTAAACTCTTAGGTGCTGTGGCACTTGAAGTTCCAAGAGACAGCTCTCTTATATTAATAGTTTGGGTAAAACGCTCTGTTTTAAGAACCAGACCAAAAGTTGATTTGGAAAAGTTAGTGGTTTAAAGTTCACTGATTAAATGTTACAAAATCGTTGGAGAATGTTGATAGAACTGTTCATGATATATAACATATAAGACTTGTATATTACATTAATTTAAGAATGAAGTTATCACTGACTATAAACAAATTCAAATTCATATCATCACCAAATATCTAATAAATCATTCAAACCATCTCACAAAAAAAATTATATTTTTTTAATGCAAATTCAATTTACGGTGCCAGTCTGTAGTGGATAACATAGAGTCGACAACAAGGTTGGAATAAGAAGATGAAGCATATATAAAATTAATAATTATGGTTTGATGGTTTAAAGTATTTTTCAATATTTTTTGGTTAAAATAGTGAACCAACGGACCAGTTAAACCGTGGTGGTTCGTCAGAGTTTATGTTGATCCGTGAAAAATCGTTTGGCCAATCAGTAACCGTCTAAACAATGAACCAGACTGCTATCGTAACTGGTTTGGCGTTCTACTGGCCCTACTATTAATCCGGTTCGGTTCTTATAACAATGGTAAGACGTAGAGGTGGCAATTGGATCGGATTCGTGGATTGTGGATTGGATTGGTGGATAATGGATCAAATGGATTGGATCCAATGGATTGGTGGATTCATGGATTGGATCAAATGGATTGGTGGATTGATCCATGAATCCAAATCCAAGGCTTGGACAAAAATGTAATTTTTGAAAAGTTTAGGTACTAAAATGTCACGATTAAAAGTTTTAGGTACCAAAATGTAATTTTCCAATGTAATTTTTTGTATAAAAATATAAATTTTAGGTACCAAAATGTAAAATATAAAAATATAGGTACCGAATCGTAATTTGTCATTTGGATCCATGGATTGATCCATGAATCCACCAATCCAATTGGATTTGGATCAAATGGATTAGATTTAAATGGATTGGATTAGGTGGATAATTTTGTGGATGGATTGGATTGGATTCATGGATTTGGATCCTAATTGCCACCTCTAGTAAGGGCTCAAGATAGGGTGAGTAACCTTAGGGTGAGTAACAATGAGTAACCAAATCTGGACCATTCTTTTAAGTGGTTGCAGATCTAAGGGTGGAGAATTAAAGGAATTTATTTTCCTTAGTTTTCTTAATTGGATCATATCTTCTTCATTCTAACTCGGATTTCAAAAAAAATTTTACACAGATGGAACGAGTTCGTTGTGCTCTACAAAATGATATCCATTTTCAATATTTTTTTATAATTTTTTTTCATCCCTCTCGTTACCAACTCCATACCATATGGTGTCTCCTTTGTTGTTTAGTTATTTTCGGAAATTTTTGCACAAAAGGAACGATTTAATCATGATCTATTGGATTTCAAAATTTTATGGGGGAAAAAATTTCATACCCATCGTTACCAACTCCATACCATACTATACCACCTTGGTACGAGGTGGTATTTTTCATACCATATGGTATGCTGTTATTTAATACCAGTCAATATCATATGGTATTGACTGGTAATAACTGGCAAATATTTTTTTTGTTCAAAAAAATATCAAAGTGAATATCATTTTGAATCATTACCAACTCCAAACCATACTATACCACCCTGGTATGAGGTGGTATTTTTCATACCATATGGTATTGACTATACCATATGGTCAAAGTGGATATCATTTTGAAGAGCACAATTAATATGATCTAACTGTGCAAAGAAAATTAAATTCCGAGTTAAAACGAGTGAGAATCGTCCGTTAAAGATTAAGGGAAAGAAAATTAATGATTTTTTCAGGAGAGAGATGAAAGCGCTGATGTGGCAGATTCTTATTGGGTTATGCATGGGGTTACTCACCACAAGATTACTCACCGAATCTGCTCTCCTAGTAAGAGGTAAAAAAAGAACAGATTAAACATTTGGGTATGCCTACTATGACATGCATGTCACGGTGACATGCACTTTTCGGTCGACCTATTGCTGAAGGCGGTCGACCGAATCGACTAATTTGGGCAGCACGAGAAAGCATTGCGGTCGACCTCAACGACCACCTGGTCGACCGCACTTAGTTTAAGTTGTTATTTTTGGTCAACCAGAATAAAACCTGGGTCGGCCATTTCGTTGGCGTCAGAAACAACATGGTCGACCACCTAAGGTATATAGGTCGACCACTTGATTGCAGTCATTAACAAAATGGTCGACCGGATGATGAAAGAGGTCGACCAGATAGAAGATAAGTGTTCTATCAAAGTGTCCAATTATTTGACGTAAAATCAAGATCAAGTGTTGGTTTCGCGGTCGACCTAATCCGTTACGAGGTCGACCGAATACAAGAAAGTCACCCTATGCCCCGTGTCTTTTTTGCTTATGTATGTCGATTTGTGTGGTTCTTTTAATCGTATAAATTATGTTTCAAACCATCATAATTAGTCATAAATAATTATAATAAGGACTCATCAATTCATAGCATAACAACTAAAAATAAAACAGAAATCATAATTGTTCACACATAAAAATAAAACTAAAAAAACAACAGAATAACACTCAACAATCGTTTTGACCACTAAAACACACAATATAAAAACTCATTTCTCCTACTCATCTCCCCCCTCTCTCTCATCCACATTTTCTTCATTGGTGGTGCTAGCATGATGGTGGTCGGATGTGGTGGGATGCATGTATCTTCCGCTGAAAGATCGCCACTCATCTCGCATCTCATTCACGGTCACCTGCATTGTGCTCATCTAGGCGGTCATTTGCCCCATGTAGTCGTGCATGCCAGTCATCTGGGTGGAAATCTGGCCCATGTACTCGTACATGCCATCCATGCGCTCCCACACACGCTGTAAGGTGATCGGTGGAGTTGAACTCTGTGCCTCCGCCATTGGCTCGTCTCGAGCTCCTTCATCACCCTCATCATCATCATCATCATCATCATCATCACCACCATGAGCATTGTTTACTCCGACATACTCACCATTACGCAGCTCAAAGCCCATCTTTTTCAGAGATGAAACAATATAGAACTCCTGCCTTGAGATTCTTAACCCCACCTATTCACTTAAATTCACATTAAAATGCTCAAATAGCACAGTGAGGATCATCCCATAGGGAAGATTCCTGTTTGAACTCTCTGCAGTAGTAAGCATGTGGTTAAAGATCAAGTATGGCAAGTTCACCTTCTCGCTTAACAGTAGGTTGGTGAGGAGCTCCATGTCGAAGTAGGTGACTGTCTCCCGATGTCCACCCTTTGGCAGAATGTTGTAGGAAAGCATGTGGTGAAGAACTATGGCTTGAACCGTCAGGTGGTTACTCGTTGGCCTATTGCGCCCCTGAGCATCTTCCTCTTCATCAAGACCACATACCGTCTGGATTTGCTTGGCTCTCGTGAAATGCGTTTCATTCCAAGCACCGTAAGAATTGATTCTCTTCCCCTCGTTGGCAAACCCAGCTATTCTCGCTAATGACCGAACTCAAATAATGTCGTTGCACGTTTTCAGAAAAAAAGTCCACAACGGTCAAACTGCAAAAATCAAAATAACAGAAATGTCAATTGTGATTTGCAACGTACAGGTCGACCTGTTCACAGTCACGGTCGACCTTATTGGAAAAGAGGTCGACCTCATAACCGATCCGGTCGACCACACGTACTAAAAAACGTCTTACTTGTCCCAATTCTTGTCCCCAGCCTTCTCTTTAGTAACAACATAACACAAGTCTTCAACTGGATTTTGAAGATTTTTGGTGAATCCTTCTAGACCCTCCACTTTCATGACCTACAAATCATAGTTAAAATTAAAGTAACATATGAACACAAACACACATTATAGATGAATATGTAACGTAAACTTACCCCGTGCTTTTCGAAAGGACTCTTAGATTCTTCTTCATCGCTATCATCACTAAATAATCCTTTTCTTACAAATTGATCCTTCTGTGGAGTGGTGTAGGAGTCACTTTCATATCGAGGTCTCTTGTACTTAGGAGAGGAACCCTTGCTGCCATTCGTTGTTTCACTCTGTCAAACATATAAACAAAACAAATTAGCACTAATGATAGTAATACTAATATCTTCAATCACATATGAATATACTTGGATACCTTTAAAATGTGCTCTTTCAATAAATCGTCTATGCTCTGGTAGCAATTTTCAGAGTCATCATGGTCTTCTTCCTCTTTACCAAAGTCAAATTTCTTTCCTTTACCATTTCTTCCGCCATTCTCCATTCGTTATGCACTTATATCTTTGATAGCACCTTCTAGCCTCTCAAACCCGTCATGCATCATCCCAGTCATATCTGTCAGTCGAACTGACAATTGCTCCACTCTATCACACATGGACTTCTGAAAATCATTGACTTGTGTTTGACACACCACCAGCTTCTCTTGTGTGGCTTTCAACAATTTCATGATTTCACCCAAATCTTGATGCAGTTTATCATCATGCGTCATTGTCTAAACAATTTCAAGAAAAATTTAAATCATAATTCAACTTCAAATTTCTACAATTGACCAAAAAACAAATACGTGGTCGACCTGACATAGTATTAGGTCGACCTGGAAGACAAATAGTGACTACCACAACCATTAAGGTCGACCTCTGTTATTCCTAGGTCGACCTATCCAGCAGGAAAATAACAATTAACAACAAAAAGTAAGTTCTAAATTAAACCGAAAAAGGATAGGTCGACCAGATATCTGGCGCGGTCGACCGTTTCAAGCACAACATAGTCATACAATCAAAGCCAAAGTCGACATTCAGGTTGAATAACCAAAAAAACAGGAACGGTCGACCTTGAAACCCATTAGGTCGACCAATTGGGTTACCTCGCAAGTATAGAAATCCAAGTGTTGTGGCCTAAATTCAAATAGCTGGGTTTTCTCTTCCCCTCGTTGAAGGGGACTAATATTCGTATTTATAGAGATTTAGGACGTCAATGGGTCGACCCAATTCGTTTCCTTGTCCAATTGTGGAACCTTTCTGGTGTTGGAATCCATATCCAATACGGATACGGTGTGAAGGTGGTCGACCTCTTCATAATGCGGTCGACCTGTTAGGTGCACAAGGGTCGGCCTATGAGATATTTGGGTCGACCTTTCATTCTGTTAGACCACCAAAGCGGTCGACCGCGTCTTGGAACCCCACATACATGAATTAGTCCATTCGGTCGACCGCATGTTGGATTAGGTCGACCGAAAAGTCCATGTCACCGTAGCAAAATCCTAAACATTTACTTAAATGATTAAATACAAAAAAATCATTAGTAATTTGTAATTATCTTATCGGAAGAGGAGAGGAGAGATGGTGGGCCTGGGCAAGAAGACAGATGGGCTGAGAAGCTTTGATGAGTCACTGAGCCGACGCCAACGACGAGCCAAGTCATGGAAAACCTAATCCACTCAGCCACCGACAGCTGGATACCTCTTTCCTCGCACGTGTCCTCCCCCAAATCGAAAAAAATAAAAAAGGAGAGAGAACCCTAATCTCACCCACTAGTCATCACTTCTTTACCCCGCGATTGGACACCGCCCCACCACATCATCGCCTTCCTCCTCCTCAATCCCTTGTCTCCCCGTTGGTTTTTTCTGTTAATTTCCCTCATCTTTCGCTGCGAAACCCAACAGTCAGCTCTTCTTCTCCTTTAGTTCGTTTATAATCGGCCAACTGGAGAGGGAAGGCCGGAAATTTGAGTCGGTTTCGCAATTGGGTAGCTGGGTTCCGGTGATTTCGTGTTTGTTTGGGCGTATATTCTTCCGGGTCTCTCTCTTTTTTTTTTGCACCGGGTGTGTGGTGTGGGTTGGAGCCTTTTGATTCTAAGCCGTTGATCCTTTGGGAGGGGGGAAGTATCTACAGAGAAGAGGGCCTTCTTTTGTTTTTACTCTGGCTGGGGTGTCTTAAAAGTATCCAACTTGGACTTCCACCTCACACTCTCTCTTTCTCTGGCACGCCATGAGAGCAGGTCAGATCCTCTCTTTCTCTCTCTCTCTCTCTCTGGCTCTCTCTGATTATTATTTGCTCTTGCTCCTTACTGTGTTTTGCATGTTTGTCTTCTGGGCTGAAGCTAGCTCGTATCCTGTTGATTTTGGTTTGGCCGTTTGGGATCTGCGATTATTAGACTTCTTCAATGTCATGGAAGCGATTGCGGAACTCTGACTTTTTGTTCCTTGTTGTCTTCTGTGTGCTCTCCGTTTTTTCCCCAGTTGAATTTTTTGGTCTTTTAGGTTTTTCCTCTTTTGGGATTGAGTTGGATTGGGTAGCTACCGTGTAGCTAGGACCAATCAAGCAAGTTCAGGTGTCTAGATATAGGAATTTTGCTCAGGAACCGTGCTTGACCTTTCAGCTAGTTGAATTTTGGAATCTGGGAATTGAAGTGTAGCTCTGTTTTTTACCAGCTCAGTTCTGATTGGTCTCTTGAATTCTTATGGAGGGGCCTAGGGGAGTAGGGATTCTCCATGTCATGAATTTGGAATGTGGTTTTGGTTCAAGTAATGGCTGCTTTGGTATCATAATTTGCTGTACGCAAATTTTAGGGAGTGACTGGCCGAGTAGTTTGCTATTGTCTGGCTGCAATTAATGGATGCTCCCTGTAATTGGCTGCAATTAATCTGTACATTGAATTTTGGGGCGGTAGAATCCAAGACGTCAGCCAGGTTCTTGTACTTGTTTGTTGCACAAGGCAACCTATGTATTAATGGGTCACGGGTCACGGCTCTTATGTGTTGTCTTCTGTTTGTTTGCGAATGTTACCAACTGTGCTTCAATTAGTTTCAAATCATTTGGGTAGCAGCAGTTTTAGGTTATGTTTAGATTCTCGGCCGGAAGAATGCCGGGTAGGCTCGATGCTCTTAACCCTTGTGAGTTGTGAATATGGTCACCTTGGATAAATATACGCCCAACGCTGAATAAGCTAGGGGAAATTGTCCACATGCGCATGGTCTATGGAGATAGAATGGAAGGAAATAATAGTAAATGATTTTGGTGGTTGGTGGAGATTAGAATGAACACTGTAAGACTGGAGATGCTGTTTCCCATCTTCCCTGGAGGCCCTTAAACTTATCTTCAGGTTGGCTAGCTGTCAGCTTTCTGCATTGGGTTGGAACATTCCAGCCAACCCCTGTCCTCTCCGAATAAGATTAAGAGGACCTTTATGCCGAATAATATACATGAGTTAATTGGTTCAAAGCCATATTGTTTTTTTCTGTTGTAGTTCAATGAATTTTGTTTGAACCTAATCATATCGAACTAGTTAAGTGAAGGGCTTGATTTCTCTTTTTAGATCTTAAGTATTCATATGGATCTTTTGTGCAACTACAACCTCTAGATATCATTTCTTCCTTGTGGAAAATTCCTACAAATTAAGTTTAAACTGATGGCAATCTTGAATCATTATTTTTTCGATCTGGGCTCCCACAGAACCCGCATGCTGCATGTTATGAATCATGTAAGTTTGGTGATTAGAGAATATACTCTCGAAACCTAAATATAAAAGGGAAGTGTTGAGTAAGTAAAGATAATAAAAGCAATTGTGATAAGGCAGACGATGGTTTACAGATGCTTCATGGATTATCCTAGCTGGTTTTGGGCTGATTCTGATGTTGACAAGATGAAACACATGATTTTGCATACTTTCACGAGAGCACTTGAATGTCTCAACTTTCAACATTGATTAGCAGTAGATAACATCTGGTGTATATAAGGCAGTCGATGGTTTACAGGTGCTTCATGGATTATCCCAGCTGGTTTTGGGCTGATTCTGATGTTGACAAGATGATACACATGATTTTGCATACTTTCACGAGAGCACTTGAATGTCTCAACTTTCAACATTGATTAGCAGTAGATAACATCTGGTGTATGGAAAGTGAGATAACATGTGCAACAAAATAATTGGAGTTATTTCCTGGAAAGAAAATGATTTCTGATTTGCATGGTTTCTCGGAATGCTGTTTCCAGGCGATTTTTAGATATTGTTGCAATAGACAAGGTCATACTTAAGCATTGAAGCTAGGGTACCACTCCACTTAGCCAAATGGGAACAGGTGAAGAGAGTACACCTGCTAAGCCATCTAAACCGGCAGCTACTTCTACTCAGGTAATTTCACACTGCTCTGCTCCCATCTTAATCCACTTGTTATACTTATTGCTCCAAAATTAACCATCTGCCTTCCGTTTGCAGGAAGTTCAATCAACACCTGCATATCCAGAGTGGCCAGGTTCTATGCAGGTTAATGTTTAGCACCTTAGATCTCGTGCTCACCACCTATTCTTCTGTCAGTTCTGGTTATCATATTCATGTCTGTTATGGTGCTGTGGAGTTAGATTTAATTTTTAACAGTTATTCCTATGTTCAGGTTTATTATGGTGCTGGAGCCACTCCACCTTTTTTCCCATCAACTGTTGGTTCTCCCCACCCCTATGTATACCAGGTAAGTTAGATGCACGCTTCAATAAGTTTCATGTTTGTTGTCTTCTCTTCATTAGCCGAGATACTATCTTATTGTTGTTTATGTTTGGAATTTTAGCATCCATTTGTGCCACATTATGGCACCCCAGTTCCATACCCAGCAATATATCCTGCAGGGGGGATGTATCCCCATCCTAGTATGGCCATGGTAAGATCAGTATGCTTTATGGTCATATTGTTTGTTTATTCTTGTCCTCCTTATTTTCATATCCTGTGCGGGTGACTCGTGTAGGCGCCAAACTCAGTACCACCAGGTGGGGAGACCGAAGGAAAAGGAGCTAATGGAAAGGATCAGGCCTCTGCAAAGAAGGCCAAGGTAACTCCAGTAAGCAAAGTTGTAGAGAGTGGAAAGGCAGCTTCAGGTTCAGGGGATGGCGGCTCCCAAAGGTCAGCCCCTTAGTTTTTTTTAATTCCATTTGTGGATTTTCTAATAATTTATTTCTTCCATCCTCTGTGGCTAATAGAAATAATTCTCATGAACACAGTGGTGACAGTGGCAGCGAGGGCTCGTCAGATGGTAGCGATGACCAGCAGGTATAACTCGAGGACAATATTGCCCTTTCTATAATTGCAAAAACAGCCTATGACAGTTTTTCCATGATCCTCTGTTAAATAATGCTGGTCTTCAATTTTTTTCAGGAATATACAGCAAGTAAGAAAGGAAGCAGTTTCAATCAGATGCTGGCAGATGGTATCTTTTCCATTTTTACATTCAGTGTATCATTTTGTGTAATTTAATAGGCATGTGTCATCACATTTTATTTTTATATACATTTTTTCATAGCCAATGCACAAAACAGCAATGCTGCACCAAATGCCCATGGTGCTGTTCCTGTTGCTTCTGTGCCTGCTACCAATCTAAATATTGGGATGGACTTATGGAACGCCTCTCCCGGTGCTGCTGCGTTGGGAACGGCAAAAATGAGGTCGAATCCCCCTGGTGGCTCATCTTCAATGCCTGAGCCATGGCTTCAGGTGCTTTGATCCTCCTGTAGTTTATCATCTGTAATTATCTTGGTCAGCCAAGGAGGCATTATATTCCTTAGAAAGGCTTTGGTAGAAACTCAATGCTTAGTTAGATTGTTGACCACATTTAATTTCCTCTGCTCCTAAAATGTAAAGTATTGTTCTCACAGGATGAACGAGAAATAAAAAGGCAGAAGAGAAAACAATCGAACAGGGAGTCGGCTAGAAGATCAAGATTACGCAAGCAGGTATATTTTTATTCCGTCTCTTGAAGATCATTGCTCCAGTATTAAGTTGGATGCCCTCTTGCGTTGATCGCCTTGCAGAGATGGTTCCTACTGACTTCTCTTGTTCACGTGATGAAAGCGTGGGCTCTATTTTCTTGGTTTTCCCATCAACTATGTTATGCCAATCTTCATAACAGTTTTAAAATGATTCTACCCGTTTGGCAGGCTGAATGTGAAGAGCTACAGCACAGGGTACAAAACCTGACCAATGACAATCACAATCTTAAAAATGAGTTGTTGAGGCTTTCGGAGGAGTGCGAGAAGCTGAAATCTGAGAACGATTCCATCAAGGTTCATTATCCCTGCTCTGCTCCCCTTGTAGTTTATCCGCTGCTTTACTGTCCACCATGCTTCTAACCAGCACCTGGTTCCTTCTTCCACTTGTTTCAGAAAAAATTGAAGGACTCGTACGGGCAAGAAGCCGAAGATCAGCTCGAGCAAAACAACCTGACTTCCCACGGTGACGAGGGGAATAGTTGAGCTGACATTAGGAGAAAGAATGGCAACTTCTGATAGATATATAGCACTGCCCTACCGATTTGGTCTACTCGCAGTTATGAAGTATTGACCACCTCAAAATTGAGCAATAGGACGATGATTCTCTTCACTGATCTATACCCTATTTACCCTTAACCCTTTTTAGTTGTATCAGTGTTTTAAACATACCTTTTTTTACTCCTTTATAAGGACTGTAACTATGAGCTGGAAACATATTGTTCATAAGACCTACACGACTGCTTTGTTGTGCTATTGTTAGTCAAGCAGGTCGTAATAGGGCCATGCCTGGGGATATTTGTGTATCACTATTACTTGCAGTAGTCTGTTAAACTTTTCATCCAATGACAGAAAGAGTAGAGATTGCTGAATCAATGTGCTGCGCTTTTTTTTGGGTAAGAAGACAGACACTAACAGGCGTCTAGATCATATTGAAATCAAATGGTCTGTGGCAATGCCTACATAATCATAGAGAAGCCAATGACCCAAATTAGGGTCGCACACATCGAATGAATGTGTGCCAAAAGGAGAAAGGTGGTCATAGAGAAGCCAATGACCCAAATTAGGGTCGCACACATCGAATGAATGTGTGCCAAAAAATCAGCTGCAAAATTACATTCCCTAAAAACATGGGAAATCTTAACTTCCCAATCTCGATCCAGAATCCTGCACAGGTGATCCACAAGTGGCCTGTGACAGTGGTTGGTGTCATTTATCTTCCACAAGTGGCCTGTGACAGTGGTTGGTGTCATTTATCTTCCGAAGGAGTGCAACTGCAGTGGAGGAATCAAGGTCTAACTTCACTTTCTTGAACCCCTTCTTCCACGCACGCTCAAGTCCTTCAGCGGCTTCTTTGATCTCTACTTTTGTGATTGAGCATATACCTAAGTTACATGTGAACGCATCCAAACATCTACCAAGATGATCTCTCATAAGCCCTCCTGCTGCTGGTTTGTCAGAGGCTCCCAAAACCGAGCCATCTGTTTGCAGCTGAATCCAGCTTTCGGGTGGAGGTCGCCATGCTAGATCTCTTGATTTCTGATTTCTTCTCAACGGGAGGATGCTTCTTTGCACATTCTCACTTGCATGTTTGTTGATTTGTAACCAGGCAAGGGCTCTGTGAATTGTCCTTTTATCAGTAGGGGTCTTCCATTCAATTGCCTCTTTGTTTCTTTGCTTCCAGATAATCTAGCAAACAAGGCCGAAGTTAGTGCCCGTATCATCAGCTTTAAGGTTCTCACCCACCCAGGTCTGGAAGCCAGTTGTGGGTGATTTGCTCTTGAGAAGGCTGTCAAAGTGCCTCCAAATGCCTTCTGTTCTCTTGCAATCCCTTAAAATGTGCTATGTTGTCTCTTCAATTCCTACACAGGCTTTGCAGTCGCTGCAGGTTGTTAGCTTCCTCTTCTCCCTCTGCTTGTTGGTGAGAAGTCTGTCCTGATTAGCGAGCCAGAGGAAATGCTTAACCCGACTTGGTCCTTTCCAATGCCAAAGCTCTTTTCACATCTTCATTGGTTCCTCCTCAGCCATGTTCGTCACCAGGTTGTAGGCTGACTTGAGGCTGAAGCGTCCGTCCTTCTCCCCTCCCCACAGAGTTGTGTCTTCACCCAGCTCAGGGCGCGGTGGATCCTTTCCTGCAATATGAATAAGAATTTCATCAGGGAGGAGTGGCTTGATTCTGTTCCAATCAGCCACAGAAGAGCCTCACTTTTCTTCTGTGAGATGTTACAGGGAATAATCCTCAAGCATCACACCCTTCTCAACCCAAGGATGGGTCCAGAATCTGGTTGCTTGTCCGTCTCTTACACTTCACAACAAAGCCTTTTGCATAGTCTCCATTGCTCGCAGGATAGCCTTCCATAGTGGTGAATGGTTGCTTTTCTTCATAGAGCAAATATTTCCACCAGCCATATGGAAGTACTTATGCTGGAAAATCCTTGGATCCAGAAATCATCACCATTGTTCAACATATGCCAAGCTAATTTAATCATATAAGCCCGATTCAAGCATCTAGCTGACCTAAGGCCAAGACCACCAAGATACTTAGGTTTGCAAATGTTATCCCAAGAGACTAAGTGGATCTTTCTCTTATCATCCGTTCCTCCCCACACAAAGTTCCTAATTTTTCTATCAATGGTGTCGCACACAGAAAGGGGAAGCACAAAAGTCTGCATCACATACACAGGAATAGCATTGAGGACAGAGAGCGCCAACGTGACTCTTCCTGCCAAGGAAAGAGTCCTAGCTTTCCATGAAGAGAGTTTGTTATCGAGTCTCTCAAGAATGTATCTATAGGTGTTCTGATTAATCCTACCATGAAGGACAGGAACTCCTAGATACTTTCCTAGGTCAGCAGTAGTTTGGATCCCAAGTTTCTGGCTTATCTCCTTCCTAACTATAGTCCTAGTATTCTTGGAGAGAAAAACGCGCGACTTTTCCTTACTAACCAACTCCCCCGACGCAGAACAAAAGCAATCAAGGCACTCCATAATTATTTCAGCTTGTTTACTACTGGAATCGGCAAAAAGCATAAGATCATCCGCGAAAAATAGATGTGAAAGAGGGGGGCCCCTAGGGGAGAGTCTCACAGGCTTCCATCTATTATTGCTAACTTCCTTAAGAATGCAATGGCTTAATCTTTCGACACAAAGTGTAAAGAGATAGGGTGAGAGGGGACATCCCTGCCTGAGGCCTCTAGTGGGCTTGAAACTTTCTGTTTCCCCTCCGTTCCAAAGAACTTGCATCTCTGTTGTTGTCACGCAATTCATGATCATGTTGATACTGCTTTCTGGAATGCCTGCCTCTCTCAGGGTATCCTCCAGGAACGACCAGTCTAAGCGGTCATAAGCCTTTGCGGGATCCACATTGAGGATCATAGCTCCCTTCTTCCCCTTCTTGTTCGACAGAGAGTGAACAGTTTCCTGCAAAACAAGAATATTATCAGTAATATGCCTGTTTGGAACGAAACTGGACTGGTTCTTGTGGACGAGGTGGGGCATGATAGGTTTCAGCTTGTTCGCAAGACATTTGGCAAGCACTTTATAGTCCACGTTACATAAACTAATGGGCCGGAAGTTGTTCATAGTAGCAGGAGATACTGATTTGGGAATCAAGGCCAGGAGGGTTTCATTCGCAAATCTGATCTTGTTGGGGTCGTCATAGCAGTCACGGACGAACTTGTGCAGGTCATCTCCCACTTGGCTCTAGGGATGGCAATGGGTCGGGTCGGGGACGGATAGTGCATATCTGTTACCTTACCCAAAGTAGTTCAGGTTTTACCCATACGGACCCACATGTGAAACGGGTAGAAAATTAAAATCATGCCCATACCCGTTCGGGTCTCGGGTATCCGCAGTTATCCATGGGTAATGATTTTTCTTCATAACTATAACCAATATGTTAACATTCACACGTATTCTCACATTACGTAAGAAGAAAAGTACGACAATAATTCACTAGAATGAAGAAAAAATTAAAACAACACAATTTCATGAAAATATGATATTTATATGCTAAATATAAAATATGTAAGAGAAAAAAAAATGATTATTTCTAGACAGAATACATATGCATGTGTATTATCGGACAGGTTCGGGTTGGATAGTGAGAAACCCATGCCCACTCATTACCCACAATATTCGGGTTCAGATTTTACCCATACCCACTAAATGTCCTTCGGGTTCGGGTTCTTCCCTACCCGATTAGGCCGGATTCGGGCGGATATCCACGGTTACGGATATTTTTGCCATCCCTACTTGGCTCCAACATTTCTGGAAGAACAGGCCTTAGAAGCCGTCTTTCCCTGGGGCTTTAAGCCCATTAATCTCCATGACCACCTGTCTGACCTCTTCTTTGGATTGAGGGACCTTAATTCCCTTTAGGAGATGCTCACTCACTTTAGGGAAGTCAGCAGTGACACTTTGGCGCGATCCATTGTCATATTTGGTGTAAAGTTTGACAAAGAAGTCACGGGCCATCTGCTGGAGAGCTTCAGGATCCGTAATCCAGTCGCTAGTTTCATCTCTGAGCCCCACAATTTTGTTTCTTCTTCTTCTTCTCAGAGTGCTGGAGTGAAAGAAACGCGTATTTTGATCCCCATGGACGATCCCGTTAGCCCTGGATTTCTGCATCCATAAAATCTCTTCCTGCCACAGAGTGTTCTCAAGTTCCTCCCTGACTTCATTCTCTTTTGTGAGGGACCTACTGGTTGGTGACCTTTCATTCTTGAACTCCAAATCTTGCAGCTGGTTCCAGAGTTTCTTTCTTCTTCTGAAAATGTTCCCAAAAACCTTTTTGTTCCACTCTGTGAGCTTGCTGGGTTCTTCAAGGAGGGAATGAGGTCATTTTCATTGTTCCAAGATGGTTCCAAGAAGGGGAAGAACTCCTCATGAGCAATCCATGGAGCGAGGAAGTGGAACCTTCTTTCAAGTTTGCTTTTATCCGGGTTGCTTGCAGAGCAAGTTAAAATCGGCCGGTGGTCCGATTTCAACTTAAGGAGGTGGAAAGTGACAGCATGGGGAAACCTTCTTTCCCACTCTGCATTACAGAGACTCATGTCCAATCTCTCCTTCAGCTTGGAGGCACGAGTAAACCAGGTAAACTTGGGCCCAGTGAAGCCTAAGTCAATCAGCCCACAATCTTCGATGCAGGTGTTGAAAGCTTTCACCTTGGCAAAGCTGAAAGGGGCTCCTCCTTGCTTCTCGGATGGCTTGCAGATGGAGTTGAAATCTCCAGTGAGGAGCCATGGCAAGGTAGTGTTGCACTTGATTTTCCTAATTTCATCCCATAAGGCAACTCTTCCAAAATCATTCGGGCAGGCATAGCCAACTGTTATGTGGCAGACTTCTTTCTTCTCAAGTATGCAACAGAGGTGGATAAACTGACGATGGTTATCAATGTCTTCCAGTGTAAGTTGATCCTTGTTCCATAGAACCCAAATTCCTCCACAGAAACCTTGAGCATCAGAGACTTCCCAGGAGTCGAAACCAAGGGAGTGGATGATCTTCTCTGCCTCCTCCCCGCTTACCCTGGGTTCCAAAATGCACACCACATTAGGTGAGTGAGTTTTCACATAAAAATCAAGAGTAGAATGAAAATTCAGGTGCTTAGCACCACGACAATTCCAGGAGAAGACTTTGATCATGGAAAACATGAGGAAACGTACTTCCCTGTGACGACGCCTAGGTCGAAAAGTCAGAGGTTGTCGACGGCCATTGCCGCCTTCTCCTCCCCAGTAATCTACTTGGTGTAGCTTCCATCGGGGTGGCTTCATTTTCTGGCTTGGACTTTGTAGCTCCTCCCAAATCTTGTTTGAAGTCAAGCTTGTGTCCTTGGTTTCTTCCAACATCAGGGTTTTTGGTACTGAGCTGGCTTCGTCCTTTGTTACCTGGCGGTGTAGGATCCTTCATCTTGGGTTGGTGACCAGAAGCCTCATCGCTTTTCAAGTCCTTCCCGTTAATTGTAGCTTCCCCCCAGGGCTAACGTGAGCAATCTGCTTACCCTGTGGGGGTGACTTGTCATTTGGGATAGTCACTCTTTCCTTGCCTGATGAACTTGTTGGTTGCCTGCCTTTGTTCACCTCTTGAGTTTTGCTGCAGCTAAGCCTTTGGTTGTTTGCTTGCTAGTTTCTGGTGAAGCCTTTTGATTCTCCTTTCGGGTATTGTCTTTGGTATTGCCATCTTTCTTCTGTTTTCCTCCTTTTTATTCTCCTTCTCCTTCTCCTTATTTTTCTATTGAGGAATTTCTGTCAATGTGTGTCCTGGCTATTTGTTCTTGACCTCACTTTCTGCCTCGGCTTGCTCACTTGGCATGGTTGATGAAGACTCCTCCTTATCCAAATCCTTACTCAGCTCTTTCTGGCCTTCGCTCAGGACCCCAAACCTCGATCCATTATGCTCTTGAGTCTCAGTCTTTTTTCCTTAGTAATCTCCTGGCCTTTCCCATTTCTCATTTGCTGATTCTTCTTTCGTTTAGGTCTCGTGGCAATCATCCAAGGTCCGAAGTCATCCAGGATTTCTGGGCGAACCTCCTGGCTAAGTCTTTGTGCCGTTGTTTTCACTGTCTCTTCCTCTGGGGAGGTCTGAGAGGCACTCCTAGCTGCTGGGCAGTGAGCCTCCAAATGTCCATAGAGTCCACATTCAAAACAGATAGTTTCCAATCCCTCGTATTCGACTCTTCTCACTCTTCTCTTCAGCCTGTATTTTGGCACAAGTCGCTTTGTTAAATCAACTTCAATGCAAATTCTAGCATAGTTACCTCTGAATCCGTTGACCGTATTGTAATCAATCTTCACAACTCTCCCCAGCCTGCTTCCGATGCTCTCAAGGATCTCTTCGTCGAAGTAAGCCATGGGAAGGCGGGGCAGGCGCACCCAGCCATCGTCTTGTTGATCACATCAAAGTCTGGGTCGAAGTCAAGCCTCCAAGGCTCAGAAGCTATATACTGATCATCCACCGACCATGGCCCTCCGTACAGAGCCCTGTTGTAGTCCAGCTGGGATCCAAAAATGGCTTGGTAATGTTCATTGCCAATATCTCTGATTTTCAGGGAGCCTGATTTTGCCCACATCTTGTGCACTCTCCGGTGGATGAAGGCGAAGGGAAGACTTTTCCCCAAGACTCTGAAGGTAATCGCCTTACTCCAGAGGTGCCGCACTCTCGCATCGGTGCTTTTTTTTTATTCGAATGATGGGACAAAGGGGATCGTCCTCACCATCTTCGCCGTCGGATTCGTCCGACATCAGTTCGTCGCCGTTGGGGATCACTGGTGGGGGCCCGAAGCCCATAACAGAGTCTCTGTACGAGGCTCTCTCTTGCTGCGTCGTGGCGGACTTGGCTCCTTCTTCTATCGCAATTGTTTCCTGTACCTCATCAACCATTTCAAAATCCCTATCTTCCACCCGAGCTGTGACGATGGCAAACTCCATGTCACCTTGGCCCGAGAATCCTTCACTTGCAGATGACTTCGCTTTTTTGCTCGGTTGGATTGGGGACCCTGCTGGTGAAATGTCCGATGGAGGCTCCATCCCAAACGGTCGTCCAACGGGAAGAAACAAGAGAGGAGAGAGGGCAGAGCGAATTCTCTCTCTTACTTTGCCTTCACCTTCTCTGTTTCGCGTTTAAACTGAACTTGTTGTGGGCGATGCGCTTTTTTATATATATATATAAAGCAATATTATGAAAGGGCTTAACATTAGAAAGGAAGTCAAGAATATTGATGGTTTAGAGGGTTGAGACTTGAGAGACAAGTGATAACTTTCACCTTATGCTCCAAATAGGGAACAATCAATTCAAAGCAACCCAAGCTGTAAAACGACGTGGCTACAAAGAAAGATCGGCCAAGAGAGAATGAACAAAAATCTCACAATCCAAGTGGAGAACCCATGCGGCACTGCATCGAATTCACAAAACCTGGCTGCAGCTTACGGTGGCAAACATCTCTCTAAAAAGAACACTGACTATTACTAGTTCGATTCTACTGCAATCGAGTCCTGTACAAGCTCAATAACAAAGAGGGTCTGGGAGGCTTGATCTATGCACAATGCCGTTCTCAACTATACTTGCACAATTCGGATATAAATATGGAGGTTTTTATGTGTTTCTACTCGACTCATCATCACCATCATTCCTGGGTTGACGTGCTGTCTCATGGGACCGAGCTATTGTTGCTCCTTCATCTGTTGAGAGACAAAGAAATGTTAAATACTAGAAGAACTGGGAGCAGCATGTACTGATGCTACTGTATTAAACATACGGAAGTTGGCCTAACCTGTTCCCTTGATCTTCAAGTATACAGACGTGGCATAGTCAATTTCTGCCTGGTGTGAGATAATTAGTTTTGCCTGCAGTTTGACAAAACAAGCCAGGCGTGAAGTTTTGTGTTTTTCATCTCTAATGTGTAAAAGAGCAAGAAAATAAGCCAGAGTTCAGATATCTCAAACTCGGCAGGATATCGACAATATGGCAGTTAGATGTTTGAATACGAAGATATAGTGCATACCGCTTCCTTATAGGCAGAGTTCATTAGCAGATCTACTCTAGCTTGGTGCTTCAAGAGGAATGGACGCAAGTGCTTTCGGTAAAGTTGTGCTGCTCCCTGTAAAGGAGAAAAAGCAAATCCAACATTGTCATTGCAGCATTTACATCAAAGTGAAATCTCATACATCCAACCTAAACGTTTATTAGAAAAGATGGAAATTTCGTAGCTTTTATATTCCTCAATATTAGATGAAGTCTGATCTGGAATGAATAACCTATGGACATTACAGAAAGAATAGAACGAGTAGTTTACATCGGCTGATGGAAGTTGAAGCCAAACAAGAAATGCAAACTTCATATGATAATACATGGGGACCCTGCACGACATGGAAACAAAAGGATCAATCAGATCAGACAATGGTTAAATGAAAGCTATGACCCTTACTAGAGAAAGAGTTAGACCAGCACCAGGAAAGCAACTTGTCTGCAAAGACTTCCGCAAGGCTGAACGATCCATATGCTGCAATGCACGCATAATAAAAGAGTAGTCAGGAGATGCCAAAACACAACTCGTGACGAACATCCATAAACACTGAGATTTGAACATCAGAGCAACAAATCGAAATGGGTAAATGAAATTTTGGCAAGCTAATGCAATAAACAATCGATAGAATATCAAACACTGCTAACCTGCCCAGTAAATCAGCCACTTCCTTTGCTGGGTTTCATCATCCGCTTCAAGAGCTTGGTATGTAGAGTAAACCGGCAGAACAATCCCAACAGAGCAACTGCAGAAACCACCAATGAGCCTCCAGCAAATACTTTATTAACAACCATATGAAAAGATACATGCAATCCACATTAAAATTACAATTTGAGAAACAGAGCCCAGAAGCTGAAAACAGAGCCCAGAAGCTGAAACTCACCATGCTGCTCGAGTGACAACGTTGGAACCAATTGGGGAAAGAAGCAAACGCAAGCCTACCTGCATCACAATCACAAATTCACAGAACAACCGTCTCATTCTCAAGAGTAAATTTTTGCTCCACTTTGACCCAGAAGGAAACGAGAACCCTAAACATGAATTGAACCCAACTATTAAATGATCGATCCAGCGATGCCGCATTCGTCAAACCCTAACGTGATAACACAGGAGGGGGACGGGGGAGGGACCGATGAGGGCTACCAACCTCGCTCGTTATGCTGGGTGCGAGAAGCGCCATAGCTGATGATCAACGATGAGGCTTTCCGGCTTCTGGTTGCAGCTCGAATTGGCCAATTAGGAGTAACGGCAAGGGCAAGCCTTGAATTTTTTGATTAGTTTTCTGATTTCTCCTCTTTCTTGCCCTTTGTGTACTACCTTCAGAAAATTTCAGCTCAGATACCCTAATTTAGTTTCTTTTCCCAATCACCCAACCGTTCATGTTTGGTTATAGAAAGAATTTTTTAATTTATTTTCGTGATTGTGGTAATATGATCCGTTAAATGCCCATTTTGGGTTTTTTTATTTTTCCATAACATCGCTTGTAAATTAATTAAGAAAATAGAAATGATAATAATACTCTATTTTAACGTGAACTTTATTTTTGTCAGAACTTTCAAATAATATAATTTTGTTTGAATTTTGAAAGAAATTAAAAATTTTGGTGAAGCATATAGGTTGATTGCCTATATTGATGGTCATACATATTTTTCATTCGAGACTTAATATTGGGTGTTGAGGTGGCTACAACTAGGGGTGTACATGGGTCGGGTGGTTCGGGTTTAACCATTTTAATCACCCGACCCATGCACTACGGTTTGGAAATTATCAAACCCAAACCCACCCAAAAAAATTAAAACCCTACGGTTTGTTTCTAATTGGGTTGGGTCGGGTTGGCGATATTTTTAAGTAAAAACCCAACCCAACATAAAAATATATCATTATTATACACCATAAAAATATTTTATAACTAATTAAAATTTCAAACGAATAAACCGAGGTGAAAGCTATCAAAATTCAAAAATGTTGTTTGAATTTTAATAAAATGTGATTTACTTCAACATATGTCTAGTTTTTTCCACGATATTTGTTGAAATAGGCTAAAAAGGTTATAAACAAACGCATCCATAATATGTTATTCTATTAAAATTGTACACAAGAAAAAGGATTACGTGAATCATAACTATACTCAATTTATGTCTATACTTTAAGTCGAAGAATGCATTAGATTAGGGAGACCATGATAGAAAAACATGGCGAAATATCTTAATTTTCTCATAAGTATTGCTATATACGACACAAATATTTTTTAGATACGAACTCATACTAATAGTTGGAACACGGGTTGGGTCGGGTTCTACGGGTTGTGTAATCCAAAATCCAAACCCAACCCAAAAGAGGCGGGTTGTACAAAAGAAAACCTTCACCCAACCCAAAACCTTCGTTTTAGCGATAAATACGGGTGGGTTGGGTCGGGTTGGACGGGTGGGTCGGTTTGCGGGTGTGTTTGTTCACCCCTAGCTACAACATAGCTTTCACTTTCATTTGATGAGAAAATTTTTAAAAATAAAACATTAAAAATAAAAATAAATCAAGAGGAGCACAAAAAGCTATTGTTACCTTAACATATTCTAGGTTATGTTATGTTTTCTTTCCTAATCTCATGCCTAACATGATAACGAAGGAGAGTGCACCAAGTTTCATGTCAATCGAAAGTCGTTTGCAGGTGGTAAAGAAGACAAGAAGAAAACTCGAAGTCATATCACGACTCGAGTCACGACCGTGGCCAACTTCACAACTAATGCTCACACCGTGAACATCATTTCGGGCCAAGAATGTGATTAATGACAAGTACAAATTGTCTTATGGTTAGCTTCACGACTACAACAAGCCAAACCATGAGATAGAGGTCCCACGCGCAAGAAAATGTTCATGGGCATGAATATGATGAAATGTCTGTAAGCATGCTCGCAACAATTAGGTCACGGTCGTGATTCAAAGCCGTGAGCAATTGCATAATTCACAAAGTTCAATAACGTTTTCAAATATCATTGTGAACTCCTCTAAACCATCTGTAGTGAACTTTGACCCGTGCGTGAGTCTATATGTTCTTGTTGACTGTTTTGGAGTAGATGAGACATCTTGAAAAGAGAAACAAAGGGTTAGAGATGTAGAAGGAAAGATGAGCTTGGAGAGGTTTTGGGTGATCATCATCATTAGTATCGTTTATAGTTGAAAAGTAAAACTGCTATCACCATTCAAAAAATGCTGCATCATGAGGGTTTTTCGCGAGCTGACGTGGATGCAATTTTTCTACGATACATTTTTTATATTTCTTTAAAGGAGTGGGCGGTCACTATTTCCTCCGATTTCATTGTCAACCCTCAACCGGCAGTTCTTCCATACCGTGGTTAGCGGACGGCTGAGTTTAACGCCTGCATATCTGTTCTGGACTGGGTATTGTTCCGGAAGAGGAGCCGACGGTATCTTCTCCCCAGCCATTCGTTTACCCACTTGAGTTTGTTGCTGTGGTGGAGATTCGGTGTCGTCGGGTGTTCAATTCAGAGGTCAAAGTTCTCATTTCTTTCTTCCTCACGAATTACTTGGCGAAAGAAGGTTACTTTACTTATGGATTCGTGGTTGCTTGGTCGTTACAGACTCAATTGTTAGCTTTTCCACTCCTTCATCTGCTCACTGGATTGCTAGGTTCCGCATTACCTTGCTTTTTAATTTGAACTCCAACCGGGCGCTGCCATTTCTTGGATTCCCTGTGGAGCCCAGTTTCTCCATCGGGTTTGTGAATTCACTATACATTGCCCTTCTACGAATAGCCACCTACCTCCTTAAGCAATTGTGTTAGAGAGCTCTCTCAATTTTATTTCAACCACTTCACATATTTGAAAGTAAAATAAACTTTGATCCCCTGGACGCTCTAAGTGAGTGGGGAAACATGAGATGTCACTTTCTCAGGTTGGGCATTTTCCAGGGTGGATAGTAGTATAGAATGGTTCATTGAACTTATCTATCAGTAGGTTTAAATACTACTTTGCATTGTTTTTGGGCTGCCAGGAATGGCAATGGCAGGTTCGGGGCGGGTTTATTGGTATCCAAATTCTCTTGTGGCAGGTCGGGTATTGAATCACGTGTCACAGGTCAGGGCAGGTCGATCCAATGTGTATGCAATTTCTATGAAAAACATTAGAAATATTCGTTATTTTTATTATAAGACCAAGAAAACATGATAAATATAGTTAAATTATTAGAGAAATTGAGGTTTTCACTAATTTACAACTTTATTATAGCTAAATTATGATGTAATTAAAGAAAAATCCTAAGTAATTGACTAAGATTACATGTAATTTAGGCAAGAACAGGTCGAGAATGGAGCGGGTCAGAACAGGTCGGGTCGTTGAGAGTACCCATGCCCGCCCCGCCTCAAAACAGGCCAAACAAATCGGGTAAAACGGGTCAGGTCAAAATTGTCATTCCTAACCGCCAATTTCCTCCATCGGCAATGAACTATGGTGGTACCAATATCCTCTACCGGCAGAGCTAATGTGTTCATAAACAATTTCCTTCCTTCCCTGGTACCAATATCCTCTACCGGCATAGATAATGTGTTCATAAACAATTTCCTTCCTTCCATATGATGTCCATTGTTATCGTTGCAGGTTTATGCTATGATAGTTTTTTTGAGCTTACTTGCTATAATTTGGGCCAAGTAATATGGTCTCATCTATTAATGATATCGGTTTGTGTTATGGATGCAGCATTCTCTTCCAATTTCCATTTGTTCTGCATGTTATTGGTTTTTAGTTGTTTCGTTTTTTATTGCAGGTTGCAGGTGTTTCTCTTCTCTTTGTTGCCTTTCCAATCAACGGTTGGGATTTTTGCTGTAAGTAGTTTGTACTTCTCATCCCCATAGACTAGAGTGTGCTTTGTATAATACTAGTAAAAGCCCGCTCGATATCACTTCACGTATTACAAAGATAAATATTTTAAAAAGTAATAATTTTAATGTTGACCCAAAAGTGAAAGTCATCTTATTTCATTGCTAATAATTCTTTTCTTTTCATAGGTTTGTTATTTACAATAGCATATGGTCGATGAACTTGCATAAGGTAGAGGGATCGCCGAATAGACAATTTATTTTTAAACTTTCATGACGCTAATTTTCAATCTGTATGACTTTCCTTTTTTGGGGTTTGAGGTAATCGTGGTTCTCCTTTATGAAAGTTTTGGACTTATTGCAGGTTTAAGGAGGTTCAACTCGCTTTGATCGGGTCAAATTAGGTTAGATACCAATAGATTTGGGTTCAATTGTCTTTCTCAAACAGAAGGAAAAAGCGAAATGAAAAACACTAAAGCTAAAACTCGCTATCGACTCAAAACTCGTCAACACCATGTTCAACTCGCTTTGACCTGGTTGGACCGAGTTTTGGACAAATTCACACCTTACACAACACGCCAATTACAAAAACAAATAAAACTAGCTCCCACCGAAAACCTGTAAACTCAGGTTCAAGTCGCATTGGTCAGGTCGAATTAGGTTGTATACCCATGCATTTAAACTCAACTGTCATTCTCAACCAAAACGAAAAACATAAAAAAAATACTAAAGCGGATAAAACTCGTTCATGACCCCAAACTCTCAACGCTGCGTCAACTTGCTTTGACCGGGTCGACCCTGTTTTAACAAATTCACAATTTATCCAACATGTCAATTACAAAAGCGGATAAAACTCCCTCTCAATACGAAAAGCGTCAACGATGTCAGAGGTCAATTGCAATTCTCCACAAAAAGGAAAATGAGAAATAAAAAACATTTAAGCGTACAAAACTCGCTTTCGATCTAAAACTGGTCAACAACGTGTTCAACTCGCATTGAACAATTTTTTGACAAATTAACACTTGGTCCAACCTGCCAACTACAAAAGCGGATAAAGCTCACTCAAAATACAACACTCGTCAAACCCTTAGATTCGAGTTCAATTGTCTTCACAACCAAAAGAAGAAGAAAAAAAATTATAAATGCTAAAGTCGGTTTAAAGTCGCTTTGACTGGATCGAATTAGGTTAAATACCCATGGATTTGGGTTCAATTGTGATCATGCTCAATAAAAAGGAAAAAAAGAAAGAAAAAACACTAAAGAGGATGAAACTCGGTCCCGATACAAAAATTGTTGTAGCGGCCTTGGGAAACGGTGGTGGGGAACAACTTAGGATTCCGCCTTTCGAGATGGGCTACAAAATGGTGGGCAAAGACAATGATTTGGGCAAAAAGCCATAGATTAAAACCTAGTGAACAAAGGTGATGATCGTGCAAAAAGTCATATAAGAAAACCTAACGAATAATAACAAAACACTGAGGAAAGGAAGCACGACAGTTCTTGCCCAGGTGGTAGGGCAATGACGAAAAAGGGCAGATATTCTACTACCTAATGGGCAGATTGAAACCAAGACAGATTATAAAGCCGATAATTTGTGCAAAAAACCATAGACGAAAATGCGATGATTTGTGCAAAAAGTCATATACGAAAACCTAACAAACAATAACAAAACACTAAAGAGGATGAAACTCGGTCCAGATACTAACTCGTGGTAGCGGCCTAGGGAAACGATGATGAGGTACAACTTAGGATTTCGTCGACAGAATTTCGAGATGGGCTGCCAAATGGTGGGCAAATGCGATGATTTGTGTTCAAGTCCATAGATGAAAACCTAGCGAACAATAACTAAACACAAATGTGGTGATTTGTGCAAAAAACCACAGACGAAAACCTAACGAACAAAACAAAACACAAGGGCGATGATTTGTGCAAAAAGCCATAAACGAAAACCTAGCGAACAATAACTCAACACCAAGGTTGTAGAATGGAGAATGGGGTAAAAGAAGGGCTTTAAACTTTCCCACTTGCACTTGGAGGAGTGTGAGAGTCACTAATGAATGGTAACTCACAACCTAGGCTTTTATAATTTTTGACAAATTAATACTTGGTCCAACCTGCAAAGACACACATGTCGACTGAAGGAATTAATTGACGTTCAAGGAAGAAAAAAAAAAAAAAATCCCCCACTTCTCCCTCTCTGCGAGTGGGTCGTATCTTTCGCCCTGTGCGTGCTGGCCGATAACTGTCACCGCCATCGTGCGGCTGCGGGGGCGGCCTTCTCCTTCATGGAGCCTTTAAAGGAGCCATTCTGGGATCCTCCTCTGCTCTCGTTACCTTCAATTGAGCCAATTGGAAATCTATTCCACCAATCCCTTTTGCTTCGGAGCCCTAGTCTGGTATGCGATGGCGGTTGTGCGTTTTTCAGATGCTGATGTTGCGGTGGGCCTGAACAGAGGGGAGTTGACGCTGCTTGGCCTCACCTTTGGCCCCTTACCTTCGCCGCACTCCTTGAAGCTAACGGCAGCCCGGGTATGGAATTGCAATGGAGATTTCTCCATTGCGCCGATCGATTGTGGACTGCTCCAAATTGTTTTCTCTAAGGCGGAGGATGTGGCTCGCATCCAGAGAGGATCTCCGTGGATTTTCCACAAGTTTGCTTTGTGTTTGACTCGCTGGGCTTCTCCTACTCAAGTGCTAGCGGAGTCCCTTGCGCGTGCTCCTCTTAGACTGCAACTATGGGGGCTTCCATTCGACTGCTGCGCTGAACGGTTGGGATCCATGCTGGGGACTGCTCTGGGACCGGCGGAGACAGCAGTTCTCCACCAATCCGAATCACCAGCGCGCTCTGTCTCAGAGTTCGTGTGACCCTTGATCTCACTGCCCCGCTACCAGTTGAGGTAACAGCGGCCCATGAAGATGCCGCCAAAGGGGATTACAAGGCTCAAATCAAGTATGAGCGCCTACCCCAATTTTGTTTTCTCTGCGGTGTTATTGGCCATATTGGTCAGTTCTGCCCTTGGAAAGCAAAACTTGCTGGTTCTCCTCCCCGCTATGGTGAGCATACGGTGTCCCGCGAAGTCGGATCAAAGGTGGATGAACTTACCTTAAGTCGGAAGAGGAAACAGTTCACCTGGATAAGATCGAAGGAGAAGACCTTTGAAGCTGGTGCGTTAGTGGTCGATCACTGTATGTAGGGACTCTCCATTGATACACTGCTTGGAGACAGAAGCTCCTCTGTCAATGATCTTGTTGGCTCGGCCAAAAGAGATGGTCGAGAAGGGGGCCTGGAGGAAGGGGAAATCATTCTGTCTGATGAACGGCCTCAAAGCGAGCCAGAGCGGCAACTGATACTCTTGCTGCTAACACATCAACTGCTGGAAGGGTGGAGGCAACCAGCCCAAACTGGTCCCAGGAGGCCAAATGAGCATTCTTGCATGGAACTGTCGGGGTCTTGGCTCAAACCTGACAGTTCCCACCCTCCGGGAGGTCACTCGGCGTCACTCTCCATCCCTCCTATTTCTCAGTGAGACTCGACGTCCGGATGCCTTTATGGAGGAGCAATTTCGTAGCCTTGGCTTCTCTAAAGTTCGTGTTCATAGCTCTAGTAATAGTGGAAGGGGTTTGGCAGTTGCTTGGTCTCCCCCAGTGTCATGTACAGTGTGATTTCCATCTGCATATTTCCTTTTTCGTAGAATGTTTGCACCCTTCATTAAGAAGGTTTGTCATAGTATTTGTCCATTTAAGTTGTGATGTAGGGGATCGCCAAGTTCAGTTTAATGAAATAGCTAGCTTTGTTTATTCGAGTGTGCTTCCCGTGTTCGTTCTTGGAGACTTTAATTGTTTGTTATCCATGAATGACAAGGATGGTGGTCGGCTTCCCACTCCGGCTGCGCTAGCACAGTTGGGAGACTTCTTGCAGAGGACAAACTTAACTGATATGGGTTTTGTGGGTCCCCCTTTCACTTGGTCCAATCAACAAAGTGGAGAACGTCATGTTCTTGAACGCTTAGATCGGTGTTTAGCTAACTCATTAGTTGTATCTAATTGGCATGAATTGCAGGTATTACACTTGACTGACATTGGCTCAGATCACCGAATCATGCTGGTCCAATGTGCACAGGGTACGGCACGACAACAGAGACAATTCCACTATGACATGAGATGGAACACGAACCCCGAGGTGCCGGATATCTTCCATCAAGCTTGGCATAAAGAGGTGCGGGGCACTACTCAGTTTCGGGTGCAATCACGACTCAAATATCTCCGACATGATCTTGTTGAATGGGCGCGTCACGGCACTTCCAATGCTGTCGGACGCATCCGTGGACTCCGAGAAGAAATTGAAGAAGCCCGCCAAGCTCCTCACGTAGATTGGAATCATATTAGAATCCTGGAAGGTCGACTTACGGAAGCACATAGGCAAGAAGAGCTATTCTGGATACAAAAATCTCGAGCTAACTGGTTGCAAGGAGGAGATTCCAATACACGGTACTTCCACTTGACCACAATGCAAAAGAGGCTGTTCAATGCTATTGTATCTCTCCAAGATGAGCAGGGGATCGTCCACACTGCTGAACCAGCCAAAGGGAGTATTTCGGTCTCATACTTTCAGAACCTCTTTACAACAAATGGGGTTGATCCTACCGATTATGTAGCTCAGTTGGGGTTGCCTAAATTGGTTACTGACTCCATGAATGAGGCTCTTACCTCGCAGGTTTCTAGAGATGAGATACGGCGTGCAATATTTAGCATTGGACAATCAAAATTGCCGGGATCCGACGGATTTACAGCAGCCTTTTACCAACGGTTATGGACTGAGGTGGAGAATGATATTTGTGCAGCGGTCCTATCCTTCTTTGATTCGGGCCGGTTATTACATAGCATTAACCACACATGGATCGCACTAATTCCAAAGGTACAGAATGCTGATAGCATGCGTCAGATGAGACCCATTAGCCTTTGCCAGCATCTGTATAAAATCATTGCAAGGATTATGGCAAGTCGATTGAGCTCAATTTTTCCCGATATCACTAACCCCTTTCAAAATGGTTTTATCAAAGGGAGATCTATTCAGGACAACATTCTAATTGCCCAGGAGGTGATGCAATTTCTAAAGACTAAGCTGCAAGGGAAAGAAAAGTGGATGGCCTTGAAGCTAGATATGGAGAAGGCGTATGACCGGGTCGAATGGAAGTTTCTATTTGCTGTTTTGCAGGCTATGGGTTTCTGTGAACGCTGGATTCATTGGATAACAGCCTGCGTTACCTCTGTAAGCTTCTCCGTTCTCATGAAGGTAGAATATGGATACTTTCGAGCTGAGCGTGGTATTCGGCAAGGTGATCCCCTCTCCCCTCTCTTATTTGCATTGTACACAGAGGCATTTTCAGCGTGCCTCCTGGCAGCAATATCTTCATCTTCATTACATGGTCTTAAGGTTCATCGATTGGCTCCCATTACATCTCACCTTTTCTTTGCCGATGATTCGTACCTTTTTTTACGAGCGTCTATGCCTGAATGTTCTAACCTCCTGTCTTTACTTAATGAATATGAATCTATAAGTGGTCAAAAGGTGAACCTCCACAAATCAGCCATGTGTGTTAGTGGAAATGTCTCGGCTCATGAGCTCTCAAATTTAAGTTCTTTTCTTGGAGTAGGTTTGATGGGGATGGAGGACAAGTATTTGGGTTTACCCTCTACAGTTCACCGCTCCAAGACCCTATCCTTTCACTTCATTGAAGAAGCATTGGCAGCCAGGGTTAGGAGTTGGAAGTCAAAGGCCCTATCACTTGCTGCCAATGAGGTAGTAATTAAAGCCATAGGAGCGGCATGACCCATATATGCAATGTCATCCTTCCGGCTGCCATCTCACACTTGTCGCCATTGTAACAGTCAACTCTCGAGGTATTGGTGGGCTGGTCAGGATAAGGAGAACGGAATGCACTGGATATCGTGGACTGCCATTTGTTAGAGTAAGTTTGACGGGGGATTGGGGTTTCGGGACTTTGATAGATTTAATGTTACTCTTCTTTCTAAACAGGCTTGGAGATTACTCACTCACCCGGAGAACCATTTGGCTCGCATCTACAAGGCTAGGTACCATCCTCACCATCACTTTCTTGACGCCGTGGCGGGTTATAGGCCATCATGGGCGTGGCAAGGAATACTAGAAGGGCGAGATCTTCTTAACCGTGGCCTACGTTGGCAAGTAGGGTCGGGAGAATCTGTTCGCACAATGGAGGATAACTGGCTCCCAACTTCCCCGCCTTCTAAGCCTACCCTGCGACCAGGGGTATCTTCGGCCGCGTCCAGAGTGGTAGACCTTATATGTCCACACACTCGCTGCTAGAAAAGGGAGCTTCTTAATGATCTTTTTGAAGCCGATTTTGTCCGCTCCATCCTCAGTATCCCACTTCCATCGACTTTGACTGAGGACTGGCTCATTTGGCATTACTCGAGTTCGGGAGAGTATACTGTCAAAACCGGTTACCATGTACTAACGAATGAATTGAATGCCAGACATCCACCCCCTGCTCTTCCCTTTGACTGCAGATTCTGGAAACTCCTATGGAATATGCCGGTGCCACCCAAGCTTAAGTTCTTTTGGTGGCGGGTGGTTCGTGGATTCCTGCCGCTAATGACTGTGTTATTTGTAAAGACCCTTGTCACAGATACAGCGTGCCCAATATGTTTAGAAGCAGCAGAAATTTTTACCCATTTATTTTTTGACTGCAGGATAGCCCGTGGCATTTGGGAGCTAGCTAACTTGGAGCATATTCGTGAACGCCTAGTGGGTTTGGCTCCTGTATGGAAGGAACTCTTCTTTGGCTTGCACTTATCAAAAGTCCATATTGCTAATGTTGTCTTCTTATGTTGGCGGATTTGGAAAGGCAGGTGTAAGTCTGTGCATGGTGGGATGCAATTCTTGCCCCCAGCTTTGTTCCGCCAATTTTGCTTGCAGGTAACGGAATGGCAAGAGGCTTTACAATCACGGACAGGGGCACCTCGGGCTGGAGAAGTGGCTACAAGAGTTGGACCAGCACCACATTCCGACACTTTGTTTTCCAGATTGGGTAGTGGCGTCCCATGTCCAGCAGAGGCGGTGTTAGTGCGATTTGATGGTGCTCTGAAATGAGGTGTTGGGGGCAGCATTGGCTTCGTAGGATTCGATGCTTCAGGGATAATAAGCTTTGCATTTGGAAGGTATTATGATGGGATGTCAGATCCTTTTCTTATGGAACTTCTTGCTCTTCGAGATGCAATGAAATGGTGCCTAACTAAGTCTCTTGTTTTGGCAAAATTGTATGGTGATTCGCAACTGGTGATACGACGGGTGCTGGTCGGGGATCTTGGGCATGACCGAGGTGGAGCTGTACTTGAGGACGTCTCCTTGCTGGCCAAGAAATTTATCTTCTGCTCCTGCCATTTTGCTCCTCGGAGCTTTAACAGGGTTGCCCATCTTGTGGCGAAACAGGCCCTTTCATCGGAAGTTCGTCGTTTAGTCGACTTCCGCCTGTGGTTGTTGTCTGCTCTTTGACTATGTGGTTTTCTGTACTCTTTGACTATGTTAAAAAAAACACTTGGTCCAACCTGCCAACTACAAAAGCGGATAAAGCTCGCTCACAAAAAGGGAAAAAAGAAAGAAAAAACACTAAAGAGGATGAATCTCGGTCCTGATACAAAAATCGTTGTAGCAGCCTTGGGAAACGGTGGTGAGGAACAACCTAGGATTCCGCCGACAGTATTTCGAGATGGGCCGCAATATGTTGGGAAAAGGTGATGATTTGTACAAAAAGCTATAGATGAAAACCTAGCGAACAAAGGCGATAATTGTGCAAAAAGCCATATACGAAAACCTAACGAACAATAACAAAACACAAAGGCGATAATTTGTGTAAAAAGCTATAGACGAAAATCTAGCGAACAATAAATAAACACAAAGGTTGTTGAATGGAGAGTGGGGTAAAAGAAGGACTTGAGACTTCCCCACTTGCAATTGGAGGAGTGTGAGAGCCACTAATGAATAGAAACTCAAACATAGGCTTTTATATATATTAACTTCCAGTCCACACTTCTCAACAATTAGGGTAGCTAATCAGAACATGGTTTTGTTATTCATATGTAAATATATACGGAGTACTTTGGGGTTTAGGTCAGATTAATCATAAAAGTATTAGCAAAGAATCTCTCTCAAACCCTAAAACCTTCTCTCTCAATATTCATCACCTATCCCTAACGGCCGAAGGCAATTTTTCTCCTCGATTCCCAATTTCTTCTTCTAAATCCCTAAATCCATAATTCCCGATAGAACCCTAGAAACAGGTTCTATCATTTGGTATCAGAGCCATGGTCACAGACTTGAGTTCGTCACAACTCTCACCAGGAAATTATTATCAAAAACTCTCTCATGCGTTTCAAGCTCTCCAAGCCAGCCTGGTAAAATATGAAGCTAATAGGGAAGCTCACTATAACAATACGATAGCAGGCTTGGAAGTACTTCTAGCCAAACTCGAGCGTCGCGCGACCCGCCGCCGTAAGACCAACAACCATCTAGAATCGATGGTGGCTACGCCAATGGAGTCCCCAGCATCACCAGCCGCCGCTGCCAATTCAACATCTACCAAGGCCATTGAATCATCACCAATGCAGCCATTAGCCCTCGTAGTTGCTGCCTCGCAGTCGCTACCGGCGTCCAAAACGCTGCCCTCCACAACATCGACAACTGCTCCTACTTTTCCTTCAACGTCAGCAATGGAGGTCAACAGGGAAGCGGAGGACGGTGCGGAGCCCCCTCTGAC